ACTAATATATTCATAAATCAGTGATCATTTTGCATTATTCAATAAACTCTACAACGAGCAATAAGCAAACCTACGTCCATAAAATTTGATCATCATAAATATTGACGCGTCATTAATGATTCACGCGAGTAAACACGATTTAACATCGCTATAAAGAGAATGTTACACATAACAATCGCATAATATTCATGTCGTGTACTTGCTACTAAATACGCTGAATTATTTAGTTAAATTAATTGATCACTTACGAGTATTTAGCTCGTATAATGAAATTAAAATGACGAGCGGTCGTAGCACTCGTAGCGACATATCCTTGAGATTCTCAAGTCGAATATATTTTCCCTAGCAACGTTATAAGTAGGAGTCACGTAATTTCAAAGTAATAAGTAGATACTTAGGTACTTACAATTTACATAATTTTGTGATAGACTAAGAGCTAGTGAACGCCAGACCTACGTTATTTTATAAAGGCTGAAAGTTTGTCAGCGCATGCTCCCAACATAGCTAAGAACCATGGCCAAACATGAAGTTTGGGTCATGGTGGCTTTGGCAGACAGACGATACTAAAGGTGTGTAAAATACCAACTTAATTACGTCAAAGTATAAAGGCTGATTTTTTGATATTTCCTTCAAAATGTTATTAGAAATGACGTCATTAATTGACAGACACCTACCTTGGTGGCAGCCCTTAGCCAGACACCTTAAAGTTCATGAAAATGTAGTCCTACTTACGTCATACTATAAAAGCTGATATTTACATAAAATATTTGAACTATCATNTTTTACACACCTTTAGTACCGTCTGTCTGCCTAAGCCACCATGACCCAAACTTCATGTTTGGCCATGGTTCTTAGCTATGTTAGGAGCATGCGCTGACAAACTTTCAGCCTTTATAAAATAACGTAGGTCTGGCGTTCAGTAGCTCTTAGTCTATGAGTGAAATTGTACTGGTCTAGATAAGAAATATTAGAAACCCCCTATCGTGCGATGTAATTTAAGTACTATTTATGTGCTAGTTAAGTAACTATGTGTTTTAGTAATTGTTCGTCCCCCGTTTATTATCTGCATTTGTAAAATACCGAAGTCTCATAAAATACGAAACTGTGACCATTCCAGAATGTAGGCAATTTTTATTACCTTTTCACAACAGTTCTCAAAAGGTGCGATAGTCCTTTCAGCAGACGAAAAACTACAACTACGAGCTGCGGCAAACACCTCGTGTAATGTAAAATGCTGGAGATTTGCCAGAATAATACATTGCGCCCGGTGGGGGTGGAAAGGGGAGGAAGGTCAACGAACTTACCCACAAAGCAAGCTGAAGTGGACGTTAACCCAAGACCTCAACTTATCCCGATCTGAAATTAGTTTTCTTTCCAAAACGGAAAACTAGGCATAACATATAACAAGGACCGTTTTAGATTTATATGATTTTCTACGATTTAATCCGATTAAGTATTTGCGCTGTTTGCTAAACCCTCTTCAAATAACAGTTAGTTTATACTAAAAGAGATTAATATAATTGTGTTGTATTTCAATTTCAAAAAGTGTTTCCATGCACTTTAAAAGGCTGAGAAACTAAGATATTCTTAACTTAGATTAAGTAGGATAATAAACTCTACGTGCGTGGGTAATTTGCAGTATCCACATGAGTTTAACGTAAACAACTGTTAGTGTAGTGAAGTAAGCCAGGTTAGTTCGTAGTAAACGGAGTCGGCATTCCAACCTTAGCGCGCTTGTTGATGGTACGCATCCTCAATGCACGCGGGCGGAGCGCACCCGCATTCCTCCGCCGAGTCCGCAGTCACATAACACAAGCCTTGACCTGCATTGCCAACCAAGCAGACGAATGAGCGATAAGCCACTTTACTACACGAGCGAAATAAAGAAAACAGTTAAAACGCTTCAAAAACAACCACTCACAGCACTTGCTTGGCTAACAATCGCATACACTTATCAAACAGAACATGTTTTCAACAAAACACAAAAAGCAATAAACGTAAATTTTAACACAGTACCGAACCCACCAAAGGAAATTATTAAGATGCTACGAAATAATTTGTTTGGCACAAAACCGTCAAAACATTCTAAAGTAATGACCTTGTGTTTTAATTGAATTAGAATGGCTAGGCATTTATTTAAATATCGTTAAAGTACCGCTAGGTTACACTACGAAGTAGGTACCTACTTTAAAAACAAATGAATTAGTAAGTAGGTATAATAGGTAGCAATATTCAATGCGCTAGTCACAACAGACGATAAACGGAAAACTGAACAAATAGGAATCTGGTTATTATTTGCTCAAAGCTAATTTGACGTGTAATCGTAAATTACTCATACAAAAACAACTAGAAAGAATGACTCGGTAAACAAATCAGAGATGACCGTAACCGTATTAGTCAGCTGAGCCTAAGTAGCCTTAGTAGCTATAGTAAATATGCGAAGAACCTCGTATTGCGCATGTATACCACTACCCCATCAAACGGGAAAGACTCTGTAGTCCCAGCTATTCCCATCGGCTCTATCATAAGTGGGGGCTTGTATGACCCGTCCGTGTAGGGCAGGATGACCGTGGAGGACGTTTTGGTCGTGTTTACTACATACGACGTCCTCTACTCAGCGGTAGTAGGAACACCCCAAGTTTCGATAGGTCGAGTCCCCCCTATTCTACTCGTCGTTTTTTCGGGTTTAAACAGAACTGTGGTAGAAATCCCAATGATTCTTTCTAATATCAATACTAGATATGTAATAATTATTACATACGTAAATAATTTTAACTGGAGTCTTCTCAGCGATTTCAGAAACACTTCAGTGACACAGCTGAATGAAAACAGAAAATAATAAAATTACTTATACACCTGTAGACAAGAATGCATCTACAAACTATTGACTGCGACACACACAAAAGCAGACACAATACAATCACCGCTCTCTGTTGATAAAGATGAGCGAGGGCATTCGTTGCGTAATGAAGGAATTTTAAATCAAAGTAGTTTAATATGGAAATACATTCGACTCTAAGTCATTGGGAAATGGATGCCAATAAGCAAAAAACCCATTATGTATTCTAACATATTTTATGTTTATTCGAAATATTCTGATGAACACACATCCTTCCTTAAAAATGAAACAATTAGACCACCGTGACTCATGCATCAGCATCGGTTCGAAAAACATACCTCCCAAGTAGCAATTGGTATTAATGGCAAAATCTTACTTGTCTTAACTTCATCTAAATTTACACTTAGGCTAAAACCAAATTAACTTAGAATAGAGATTTTTTTCTTTAAGACTTTATATTCTTCATCGAGCGCTACTTAAGCAAATTAAGAATACCCAAAACTAAGTTAAGTATTCTTTAGATAATTTGGTCTTAAGTTATTCTAAGCTTAAGTTAAAAAAATCTTATTTTACTAAATTCAGTTTTTTTGTATGCTCACTTAATACTAAATAGTATTAGTAAAGTATTATTTAAGTGTTGCAAAGTAAATAAAGTATTCGTAGATTTACTTAGGACTTTTTAAAGACCATTGTCTTAGAAATAGTTTTCTGAAGATGAAGTTAATTACTTTTTTACTAGAATTAGTACATTTTGAGAAAAAATACACTTAACGGGACGATTTCGATAAAACAGGATCACGCCTATTAATTCAAGGTAATGCAGGAGCACCTGCGTGCGTATTAATTACAACTGTTTACAGTATTTTTGCGCACGGGTTATGCATAGCTTATTTTTATTGCTTTATAACCTAGAAACAAGAATAACAACAAAAAATTGTTCTGAATTTGCTTTTATGTGTAAAAAAATAGAAAAATTAATATTAATGAATGTATGAAACATGAACATAGAGATGATTTAATTTGTTGCCAAATATATTTTTTTCTTTCTTTCTTTCATTCTTTCTAACTATTAAAACATAACAAACATCCATTTAAGATTCATTCTCACAAGAGAAAAATTAAAATAGAGTCCAAATATTTATTAAAAATGAAAAGTTCTAATTTCCTGTCATATTCCATAGAAGATTTTTTTCATAAAAATCTAACCCTATCATGCTTTCAGTATACTGGCCTTGGTAACGTCGTTTCTCAAATCCCACCATATTTTGATGAAAGCGTGCCCCTTGTTCTTGCGAATAAGCCCACATAATTATTTATAAATATATCCCAATGAGAATGTGACGTGCATCTTGTGAGACATTCTACTATGAAGATGGAAAATTCAAATCGCTATAACTTCTTAAAAAGCAAATATTTTCGATTTGTAATCTCACTTTTTTATAAACGTTTGCGCAAAAAAAAATTTTTTTTTGTTGACCGGTGTTATTGATACAATATGCGTGCGGTCGCCCGCAAACTAAATTATGCTATTATAAGTAAACTCAAAATATGATTTACTAATTAAGTATTGTCTAAAATATTTTCGAAATTGTATGGTAAAGTTGGGTAGGGTAATTACGCCGGTTTTCCGTCCAGCTCCTGTTTTCGTCCATTTGACCGACTTGCCACAAACAAATACGAAAAATTAGAATACAAACCTAGCTTTCCGTGCAAGTTTGGACTTGTTACAATCTACAATATCTACGTAACAGTTCTGCCTGCATGAAAATGTAATTTGACAAGTAATAACTCCAAAAAAATCTACGGAAGTTGCTGCTGCACACAGGTGTATGTAAAACGTCGTCAAGTTAGAAAAAAAACGTGCCGGTAGGGAACTTTCATGACATGTTTAATTACTGTTTTAGTTACTTTACGNCCTACCTTTACATCAATAATTACAGTTCGCCAAAGACAAAGAACTGTCAAGCAAAGGCTTGTGGAATCTGAGCTTTATTTCGTAGCATGGAGATTCATTCATTTACGGCAATTCAAGTCTCATTGCAGTTGATTGTGTGACTTACAACAGCAGGAAACCTTAGTCATAGTATTACTCGTACTCTATATTACATGACGCACTGAACAGGTGCTAATTGATCAGTTGCGTGCTAGGAGCCCAGCTTACCTTGACGTACCATCGGGTCTGCGACTTGCGGTGCCTAGGGCGGCGGCGTTCGGCTGAACGGTCGGCGCGCTCAGCGCGGGCGGGCGAGCGCAGTGCGTGGCAGCGTGCCGCCAGCGCCTTCGTGCGCTCCGCCAGCGAGTGCCGCAGCTCACCCCCCGCGCACCCCCGCACCAACATCACTCCTCAACCGACCTCCACTACCATCACTGGACAACCTTCCTCACCGATGCCGCACATGACTCGCCACCGTTCTTGTTTCCTATCAAAACACATTTGCGTACTCAATGCCAAGCACTAATGATACCACTTCATTATCTTGCTCATATAGTGGAACGGATAACTGAAATGCATATCAACAGTTCATCTATGAGCCTTAATGCCTTTTCTGTAAGTTCTGTAACATACATTAGAATTTGTACCCATACAATTACCTACCAAGCAACCTACTTGTATGATGTCATAGGTTTACCCAAATCACCACTATTCCGTCTCTTATACTCTCTTCTCTTACTGACACACTATCTTGTGTGTGACATAATTAAATTAGTTAGCTTGATACCAGACAGAGATTTGCGACTTTGTTAAGAAAGCGGTACGATGTTACGATGTCGGCAGTATTATTTGTCGGCTTAATCGATAAGATGAACACCAAGGTCTAGGTTAATAAAATCCTACGAAGAACGATACGTATTCACACACTGTGGGTTCTGTACCCTCATTTGGCTCTCACTATTGCTCTACTATTGTCAAATTTCAGGATAGTACCCACCTAGACTAGTCAACTGAAAACACTCAAAAGGTTTTTAATTTACTGGCGAGTGTAAATAGCCTTTCATGATAAGNGATGATAATGAGATTATTTCCAGTCTTACTTAAGTGTTTCTGAGAAAATGTGTCTGCGTCAACAGACACGAAAACGAAGTGATCCTAAGGGTTTTTTATTCGTTTTGCGGTGTGCCTGTGCAACCCTAAGTCACACTAAGCGAGCTATTTATACCCATGCGAGTAAATTGAGCGAACAACAATTCACGTTAATGACACATACAGAAATTGTCCATGACACGTACATAATGTCGAAAGGACGTTAGGGGTTATTCCCGTACCTCAGAACAGTAATACAGTACATTCATGGCAGCTCACTTATTGTTTTCACGTGAAAAATCAATAACATGAGTTTTCCATCACATGACTTGATTGAAGGTATCGATAAAAGGAGAAAAAGATCGTCATCTGTTTATTGATGACGGTCAGCACATTGTTAACATATCAATCGAGCACTTATCTTGATTGAGTCACTTATTTTTCTGATATGATATTGTCATTGAAAGAATTTGTATTTGTAGTTGTTTGATAAATATTCCGAATTCATTTATAAATAATTTCTCGTTAAATGCCGCCTTCTTCAGGATTTCTTGGAAATACTTCTATTATTAAGAATTATATTTCGGTGCCAATAACGGTGAAAGATTTCCATGAAATGAAATTAGATTATGTTTCACTCATCTTGACATTTACTCGTACCTACTTACTTCTATAGCTTTTTATTGATTTCTCAAAATTCAATTACGAATGACAGAAAAGCTCTGAGTGGGTGTACTTACAATTTCTACAAGTGTTTGACCTAATTAAATTATCATCTTATCCATAATCTATATATATAAAAATGAAACCCGTTTCGCGTTGTCACGGCATCACGTGTGAACGGCTGAACCGATTTCGATAATTCTTTTTTTTTAATGTTTGTGGAAGTCCAAGGATGGTTCTTATGGAAAAAAATATTAAGAAAATCTCTACGCTAAGGCGGTACGAAGTTCGCCGGGTCAGCTAGTTAGGTATAGAAATTTTGGGGGAATGACCAGTGAACACTCTCATTAATGAGATTTTAGATTATACTAGGTTTTCTAATGGCACCACACTCGCTAAGTAGGTCAGCCAACCAACATTTTATACCAGTAGATTTCGAAATAAAAGTTGAAACCATTCGTTACTCGTATTCGTATTTCATAGTTGCTAGATTGCGACTGAATGAATCGAGAGACTAGTGACTAGGTCGATATCTGAGAAGGAAATTGGATAATTGAGGAAGGGAGCGCATCGCGACTTGCAGAGCGAGTTAATATGTGGATTCCGTGTATCCCTCAGAATACAGATTCCGTATTCTGAGGTGTATCCCCAAGAACTAAGATTTAAACAAACATGTTGAGGTAAAAAAAAATCTTGCTAACTAGCTTTCCAATTAAGTATATGATAATAATGCAGTAATTAGCCATTCATTAGTCAGTAAACAGTTATAAACAATCAAAAGCGAGTTTACTTAATGTTCCTCGACAGATTCAAGATACTACATACCTACTTCACTTATTTTATAAGTATCTAGTTAGCCATCTTTGCGGTTATAACATTATAAAATCTTCCTGTTGTGGCGCAGGTAAGTTTACATGATCTAAAGTAATGAAGCTCGCACAAACTGGATTAAATCCACTGACCAAATTCGTGGCAGGTGTGCTACGCGCTTTTTATTTATCGAATTTCGCCTTTACTACATTGTAATTGGCACACAGTGCGGATTTGTATAGCGACAGGTGGCTACCGGCGCCCCGTCAGGTGCGCACAATGCGGCCAAAAGGTGGTCTCTACCAAATTCTACCTGGTTTTTGTTAACCGCTTTTGTGGTAGACTCTGTATATGCTCTCTATATTTTATAGCGCAAGCTTATACTAGATTATTCTTTAGTAATGTCTCTCATGAAGATAATTCAGCCTCATAAATTATATCACCATCTCCGCGCATGATGTTTACTTATACCTACTCCAGTTTTTATTATTATCGTCTTATGCATGATAAACTTTGCATTTGCTAAGAGTGGTTTTAAACTTGATTAATGTTCAAGGTAAGTGTATCATTAAAAAAAAAAAAAATTTTTAAATTTAATGTACTATAATGAGTGTCTGATAAAATAAACAATTATTATTATTATTTTTTTATTATCATTTACGATCGAGTTATCGCCTCAAGTTGTGGACAACTTTTGAAGCAGCTACACCACTCGAGATTACATTTGTAATCAAAATTGTTTAAACGCAGTACATAATTACAAATTGTGACAATAATACCGTTACGTTAGTACCTACCAACATTACACATTGAGGTGAACTACCTTGATAGTTACGAAAATTAGTGCGCTAATTAACACATTTTATAAATTAAGCATGACATTGAGTACGTAAATTTACCAAATAATTTGATCCTGTTTCACAAATTTTGTATAACTAAAATGTATGTTAGGTATGCACATGCAAATCACTCGCGACACAAGTACTTCTTCAACACTAACAAAACAATAATTAGTCTGACACTGGTTCGCTGTCGCGGTTGTCGGTGCACACTTCACTAACGCTCAACAAGTAAGTACTTCGGTTTCTCAAAACTTTCGACTGTACACTATCAAAACAGAACAAAAGTATTGTCACAAAAATTGTATACCGACGCGCTAAATTGTCTCGTGAACCGTTGACAAGCCCTTCCGCGCTCGACGCCCGGTGCGCGTCGTCTGAGCGCGCGACGAACTGTGTCTCACGGCTCCGAGGACTGACAAGACAAGGAAACCACGCATGTGCAGGATTTTCTTGGCTTTTCCTAACAGTGACGTCACACTGTTACGTCCTTTGACATGATTAAGCTCTCGTTTAAATCGTCATTGTTTAACATCATTATAGAGGTAGGTTCATTTCTAGTATTGATTACCTACCTATGTACATTTGATTTCTATTTGAAAGTTCAATTCAACTTACTTAATTTTAAAATAAAATATTTTCAAAATAATCTGTTTTGATAGAAACTCTATCACATAAAGGAACCTCGTAACCTGCTATACAATTCACACAGCTTTACCGTGGCTTTGCTGAGATCTTTTCAGCGCCACGGGTTTGTGAGGAACTGAACTTCTGGTTATTTATTTGGACTTTCATAATCATTAAGTAATAAATAAATAATAGCAGTGGTTTTCTTTGTATTGTAATTATTCATTTTCAATCAAGGAATGATTCCAATCGCAGTTTGATTACGAAATCTGGTACCGGCTCTGTTAGTGTTATTTGATATTGTTTCATTAAAGATATTACACGAAGTTAAAGAATTCAATATTGTCTTGTTTTGATTTCTAGTGCAATGTAATGATGTTCAATTCTTAAACGTTAACGTTATGAGACACACAGTAAGAAGTTGTTATTGAAAAATATTGATCTCAACTTTACGGTTTTGCCATTTCTTTGATATTATGCCATCAAAATGTGGAAAAACCTACCACACGTAAACAGAGGATACATTTTCTTAGTTCTTCTTTTATTCGATTTGGGTAGAAGTAATACAATAGGTAATTATTATTAATGGCACGTCCTCTAAGGAATATATTTTTTTTTTATTTTCTGATTACCTAGATATGGACTGATATTATTTATGAAACAAGAACTACTTACACTGAATTACTTATTAATTTCAATAAGTGTATCTTCATTGGAACATACAGTTTTACAGTTTACATATATGTAGTTGAGTAGGTATCCAATCCATAGACTATCACTATCTTTCACATAAGATTACAGTTTTGTAGGTACATAATAATATTATCTTAATATCAAGACTTTTATTTCCTTTGATCCTAAGCTAATGTATAGTAACAACGTTCAAAACCAGAATAACAGAGTATTTTATTTCCGACCCTCCCTTAACTTTCAGGAATTGGTTGCTGAAAATGGCTTGTTTAAATCTCAAGTAGGTAAAGTATTTGGAGATTAAAATACTTACTGTTAGTAACCATATTTATTTATTCATTTACTGCACAAAACAGAGTTACAACCATGATATAACAGTCAAAGAACAAAGTAATGCAATAAAGCTGAGTTGCACCAACTTACTTTAGCCATAACTATGACAATGACCGGTGATTTTTGTATGGAGTTAGACAGATTTTTGACGTTCGTGAAAGTTAAATAAAATGGTGCAACCCAGCCTAAGGCTGAGATGCAGCTCCAATGGCAAGTGCACACAACATACACATCGAGTTGATGTGCAAAAACAATGGGCAGAAAACAGAAAATGATTAACGTTTAATAAAATAATAAATATTATGAACGCAGTACCTACCTAATAACTTCACAATTACGAGTATAATCCAGTTGCAATCGTTCTTTGTATTGCGATTGCAACTTCGAGGGAATCAATCGATGATGCATTAACGATACTTTTTATTACAATTAAAAAATAATAATAAGCATAAGTATCAAACAATATTGCGTCTTTCCTTCCATTACATCGAAACAACAATGCAAACTAGCGCTGAAACAGCGCAGCTATGAATGTGTTATAAAGATTAAAATCTTCAGAGTAGCTGCAGATGTCATAAACGTACCTACCTAAACTATACATAATATGTATAATACGAGTACATATAATCAAGGTATGTAATTAAAATTTACAATATTTCATTTAATTCTTTAACCTTGAAAATATTATTGCCAATTTTAATTAGCGATATTGAAAAGACTTCAACGCGCTAATACCTACAACGTAATAAATTAACTTTAAAAATAATACCAACTTAAGTAGATTAGTCTTTAGAAAATTTTTATCGTCTCGAATATGAGCCAATGAAGTAGGTACTGATATTGTGCAAGTTAATAATAAGAAAAAAATTAGAATATGTTGAATCCTCTGGAAATTAAATATCTCTACATTATTCTTCAGAAAAATAGATATTGAGAATTTGAGAAATTTTCATTCGGATTCCATCACACTTTCGTTCTAATTTCGTCGTGATATTACGTCTTCTTACGAGATTGATTTTACAAATAATTACTTAGTTCCATGTAACGTAACGTAACGTGACGTGAAAGTATGATCGCCGAAGGTCCGGCTCGTTTCACTTTCTACGGAAAAATGCGACGGGTTGCCGAATTGCGCACCTGAGACTTATTTACTCTATGAGTGAGTGCGAATGTAGGTTCGTTATTTTCTAGAGCAATAAAATAAACAAAATAATAGTATAAAATGTGCGCTGGAAAAATTACAAATTGGCTTGATCTCGGTGCAAAAAACCGAGATAACCAGACAGGTTTTTTGAGGGTGTCTCCATGGAAAACAACTGCAGCTAATCTTAACATGGGCCACATAAGAAAACTTTTCCTGGAATAAATCTCCTACGTGTCAATCTCTATTCTAGCTCACGACCACCAACACGATACTAACTTTTCATCGTTTTTCATTTCATTGAATAACACCAAGAGAACTTCAATTCAAGACAGATAAACCGTATATCGAATGGCTTAAAAACAAGATACAGAGAGCTTTTATTACCAAACATAATGTGTGCCTTTATTAAAGCTTTCAAGGTCAACCTCCACGTGAGACTGGCTGCGATTGGTGTCAACGAGATATCTTTCCGATAAAAAGTAGTAGCTCACCCGGTTCACCCTGGATAACGGCTGGTAATATTTCCTCCATGATATTATTGTGAGCAATTGCTGAAGACGAAAGTCTACAACCAATGTGTGAAACCTACCTGTGATGACTTATGGCTCGGAAACGTGGCCTCTCACTATAGGCCTATACAGAAGCTCAAAGTTGCACAGCGTGCTATGAAGAGGGCTATGCTCGGTGTTTCTTTACGAGATCGAATCAGAAATGAGGAGATCCGTAAACGAACTAACGGATTAGCAAGCTGAAGTGGCAGTGGGCAGGGCACATAGTAAGAACTGACGGCCGGGGCAGCAAGGTTGCAAGGTAGCAAAACGCAGCGTGGGACGTCCACCTACAAGGTGAACCGACGACCTGATAAATGTAGCAGGAAGGCGCTGGATGCAGGCCGCTACCAACCGTGCGATGTGGAAGTCATTGGGGGAGGCCTATGTTCAGCAGTGGACGTCCTGTGGCTGAAATAATGATGATGATGATGAAATTGCTGAAAATTCAGTAAAGGGTTGTTTTAGATCTTTCACAACTAGCGAAGACGAAAGAAGGAACTGTACCTATACTATGGAAACAGTGGTCCTGCATTACTGCGACAAGATAAAACTTCATATACCTAAATTTTATACAAAACCACACCAAACTAAGTGACATTAAGGCACGTATCGAAATCGTAGCTGCTCAGTCTACGTTACGTGACGGCCAATCATTATTACCTACTCTTAGCAAGTGATTCGCAATTATATAAAAAAAAGGAAGAGATTCAGCTTTGTTTCACAAATTCTTTCGACAGTCGTTGTAGAAACAAAAAGATGAGCTTCAAGAAGATTTGTGGTAGGTATACATATGAATGAACATTAAACATTAGGTATATGAATTCTGCATTTGGTGATAACATCTCAGTACAATAGATTATCAATCAGAAGGAGGAGTGAACAGGGAATAAAGAAATCTAACATTAACAATGGTGCAGAAACTAGAACGACTGCGTGAGGTAAGACACTATCCCACGAGCGCTTTCGACATCGTGTGTTACCACTGGAATCAAAGAAGTTTTGTAATTACGTTCATAGTTTGGATACCATGGATTTTAAGTTTTTTAAAGAAGACTTATTAGAAAATATCCTGTAAATTAAGTCACGTACTTACAAGAAACGTCTTTGGTTTCGTAAATCTTCTCTAAGCTAAATAATAAAACGAACCATTTTAGATTTGTTTCTATGACGATCGAAATAATTAATTCAGTATTTGTGGTCAACAATCTTCAAGCTCTCGTTTGTGGGTGTGAAATGCCCACACACGTGAGTCACTAAACTCACCACATCAGTTCACCAAGTATTTTTGTCATCAAGATCTTAAGATTATATTTGATTAAAATATTTTGAATTTGGATAGTTTCAAAGTTTTTACCACAATTTAAATGGTTATCGTAGAGATGTTAACTATGGTTACGTTAAATTTCCATTTGGAAGATCCTTAAGGACAAACTAAAAGCTAGTCGTAAAAGTCGTTAGGTTTTTAGGTAACATGTACTTTGTGAACTCAGGAGCTTTAAGTATTTCATCTTAAATGTTGTTGAAAAATGGATAAAGAAATTCACCACGTCTATAGCTGAATAAAATCGAAACATATAGCCTTGAACGTCATCGTTTGTACACGTTATTGTGAGGCAAGCAACGTTTACATTCTATATCATCATTATAAATAGATGATACTGAATTCGACTCAGTGCAAAAATCATGTTCGTTGAGGTCGTAGTGTAACTTGTCCCTGCTGACTAATCCTTTTGGATATAATTTCCTTCAACTGTGTGTGTGATACTATGGTTTAGTGAATCGTGATATTAAGTGTACGAGTAAATAAGTAGTGCAAATATAGAATTGATATTACCAAGCTCTCAGCATCCTGGTTCATCTTTTTCTACGCATTTTTCCCGTGGAAGACCCGCTCCCAGGCGGCGCTGCAGCTAAGGTAAACCTAGGCACTGCACCATCGCACGTCACCACAACAACACGCCACATTCCATCACTGCATCCGCGTCCAACATATGATCGCCCGCCGGTCCTATGACGTCACACACTTTCTCGCACAAGGTGGTAAAGCACTGAGCAGGTTTCCCGGTAATCCCGTACACGCGTCCACTGAAATTTTCAACCACTGTATGTGTGAAATTCACAAATGTATTTGTTGATCCAATCGCACAGGGATCGGTGTTCGCGTGTGAAGGAAATGCGATCATATGACGCAGGTAACGACTTTCGCGCACGAACTGAGTGAAGCACGTCCGCGTCGTGGCAAAGCCGCCGTCGCGCGCGCAGCACGTAACGGCACCGAGACCCCCGCGCCCTCCCTAGCCCCTACTCTACCAGCCTGCGCCTGCCCTGCGGGCTGCCTGTCTCGCCGCCAGTCAGTACGAGCGACCGGCACCCGGCGCTCGCCACTCAAAGAGCCATACTTATCTTCAAATATTGTAGACATTAAGACGACCTTACCTACCTGTTTAGGGCGCAATCACAATGATCCCTTTTGTAACACCTGTATGCCAGAAAAACCGACAATGGTTTTTTTAATTAAGCCGTTCAGCAGAATTGTAAAGTTAACAAATATTTAAAAACCTCTAATCCGGCAAATCAAATTACAACGAAAGTATTATATTTATATTCTGTACTTACCTGTAATTTGTACAACTAATCAATGCTATGCGAAAAAATATTGTACCTATATTAGGTCAGATTTCAATAAAATGTTATTATTTTCCTCTGTACTTATTTAGTTTAAGCTCAGCTCATTTCCTCATTTTGTCACAATAACCAGCTAATAATTAATTATTATCTATAAGTAGGTAAGTAGTTACTTTAATAATGTTAAACTAAAAACCAATATTTCCAATGCCTGCTCAATAATCGACACAAAAATGTATCATTGTCCGAATGATGTAGTTGCACCGGACTAGTAGCACTAGGAGTTCCAAGTTGGAGTCATTCTAGATTTCTGGCATTGTACTCGTGATCCACCTTAATGAGCAGGAAGGATGGGATTAGGAGTATTTGATGGAATTGGGAGTATTTGAATTTGAATAATTTCAGCCATAGGACGTCCACTGCTGAACATAGGCCTCCCTCCCCCAATGACTTCCACATCGCACGGTTGGTAGCGGCCTGCATACAGCGCCTTTCTGCTACCTTTATCAGATAGCAGTAGGCTTGCCACTATGCTTAGCGTTCGTGGACTATGAGAAGGCCTTCGATTCAATTGAGACATGGGCAGTGGTGCAGTCTCTCCAGCGGTGCCGTATCGATTTGGTACATTGAGGTGCTAAAGTGCTTGTACAAAATCGCCGCCATGTCGGTCCGAGTACAGTATCTAAGCACGAAGGCGATTCCTCTACTGTGAGGCGTAAGATAGGGAGATGTTATATCTCCGAAACTGTCCACCGCGGCATTGGAAGACGCCTTCAAACTCCTGGAATGGAAAGGATACGGCATAAATGTCAACGGCGAGTACATCACGACATCACTCACCTTCTTCGGTTTGTCGACGATATTGTGGTCATCATGGCAGAATAGGTAGGAATTAAACTATGACTATCTTTTGACAAAGTTTTGTAAGGGGCGTAGCGTACAAAAGTAAGGGGCGTAGCGTACTAGACGTATCTATAATTTTCTAAATTCTTTTTCGCATGTCTTTCGCAGTGATTACTTTTATGTTCTGAAATAATGAAAATTGGCTATAAGGAGCGTTCCAAAACCGTGAACAATTTTAAAAAGAAATCGATCATTTGACAGCTGTCATTACTATGACTGTCAGTGTCAGTACTGTCAGTGTTCCAATGTTCGCTTTCGCATCTTTTCTTTTCATGAAAAGTGGCACGGTCACGACGTGTATAAAATTTAAGCAATTCTAATTGTATTACTAAAGGCTGACATTAAATTGGTTATGCTTAGATTATAAGTAAAAGTAAATAACATTACCATGGATAAATCTACAGATCTATCGGAGGCAACCTCTGTAAATAGTGAGAAGCGTACAGAAGACGCTGAAGAAAGCATTAAAAGAAAAGCTGATAATCAAGACGTTAATGAAGATGCTCCTACAAATAAGGTTAAAAAAAGTGAGGAACATGCGACAGTCGTAGCCGCTCACTATAATCACCTGGAAGAAAAAGGATTGAAAGAACGGTTCAATTCTCCTATATTTTATCTTAGAAATTTTAACAACTGGGTAAAAAGTGTCCTAATTCAAGAATATACCGATAAAATCAGAGAAAAAGATTACGGCAAAGCTTTAAGAGTTTTAGATATATGTTGTGGTAAAGGAGGTGATCTCAGCAAATGGCAGAAAGCTAGAGTAGAACGTGTCGTATTTGCTGATATCGCTCAGGTTTCTGTTCAGCAATGTGAAACCAGATACCAAGATCTTCGTAAAAGATGTGGTCACCTGTATTCTGCAGAATTCATAGCAGCAGATTGTACAAAAGACACACTTCGTGACAAATATACTGACCCATCTATCAGTTTTGACCTTGTTAGTTGCCAATTTGGCCTACATTACAGTTTTGAAAGTCTGTCTCAAGCTAGACGGATGCTGACTAATATATCAGAATGCTTGAGACCTGATGGATATTTTTTTGGGACCATTCCCAATGCATATGAGATTGTATCTCGTGCTCAGAAATCAAAAGATTTGACTTTTGGGAACAGAATCTTCAATATCAAATTACTTTTTGATCCTAAAGAAGGATACCCTTTATTTGGAGCAAAATACGATTTTAATTTAGAAGGTGTCGTAGATTGTCCAGAGTTCTTAGTAAATTTTGAGCTTTTTGTCAAATTGGCCGCTGAGTTTGGGCTTGAATTAATATATAAAGCGAAATTTTCTGACTTTTACAAAGATCATTCAGAGAAATATAAACAACTATTGCACAGAATAATATGCTTTGAAAGTTATCCAGCGCCACCAGGCAAAGAGCTCATTGGTGACGTTGCAGAATATGAACATGCCCGCAAGTACTGGGAAGAGCTTGAAGATAAGAAGGAACGGGACCGCATTGGCACAATGAGTGTTTGTGAATGGGAAGTTGCAAGTATGTATTATGAATATTAAGTTTCAGTTTACCAATATCACACTCAATCATTCTGTAATAGGTACTAATGTAACCAATTATTAATTTTCAGCTATTTACATGGCTTTTGCATTCAAGAAAAGAAAGCATGTGTGGGATGCTGATGGCAAGCCGTCTTACAATATCTCAACTGATAAAAGTGATTGTAGCAATAATAAATAATTATATTATTTTTGGAAATAAAATGTGTTCAATAAGACATTATTTCTTGCTGTTTATATTTATTTCTTTTAACTTTTAGCTACATGAAGATATTTATGCATATTATTCTTGATGTACGAAAATACTTCTCCAACCACACATTGTTTAAAAAGTATTGGTGTATGATTTTTCTTAAAATTTTATTAAGTGTAATTCAATTGATGACTCGATGGACTCAAGCAAGTTCAACTTTTTCATCAATAAGTTCAACACCATGAAGTTTTTGCAATTGCGATCATTGCTCTTTGCACAGCTCTGCAGAGCAATAGCACATACAAAAATATATAACTCTAATCGCTAGATGGCGCATTCTTCTCATGAGAAAATTTATAAAAAAGAATACAGATGGCACTATGAACGTAAAACAAACCAAACTCAATGTTCATGTTGATCGTGTTTTTCGTTATACAACGTTAAGTTGATTTTGTACAGTGGGAATTAAAATAATACTACTACGGTATAATAAATCTACAAACTTAAACAGAGAAACAGAAAAATAAATCATTTATTTATTTTTTTACGACGCTGTGTACAGCGCCATCTAGGGACAAGTAGTTGAAGTCTTTGAAAATCCCACTCACCTGAAGTTCGCTAGCTTCTGGGAGGTGGAATAGCGCATGCGCATTCGTCACTTCTCGGCACTTAGTAGAATTTTGCGTTCATTCGCTGCTCTTTCAAGCCTCATGTAATCGCGTACAACGTTGGTGATACGTAGGCAAAATGAGTGTCGAAAATCCTGCAAGTGATAATGATTGTGAATCAGTAAGTAGCCAGATTGATTTGTACGATTTTACGGCATCTAGAAATGATAATTTAGTAGCGTAAAATTGCTCGAGTGTTCAGATTTACTAGTGAACGTTACTCTCCACGAAGCGAAATTTTTCTAAGTCCCAATATGGCGTCTACTACAGCACAACGAGCTATACTAAAGCGTCTATCTTATTGAGAACAATGCGATATGATTTGCAATTTTTATCAACGTAATCATCTTATTCTATTCATTTTGTGATAAAAGAACTTTTTGGTTATAATTTACTTGTCACTTTATTCTTGCAGGGAAAGGTTAATGGCAATAAAAATGAACACGTGAATGGTATTCACAACGGATACAGCAGTTCCGAGAAGCATAAGTCCAGCCACAAGTCGTCAAGCAAAGACAAGCACCGCGACAAAGACCGCGACCACAAAAGCTCTTCCAAACATAGTAGCAGCAGTTCAAGCAGGTTAGTTTTCCAGAAAGTTCTGCAGCATGCTCTTCTTATGAATTAAAGTATAGTGACTAATATGTCTACATTATAGGGACAAAGATAAGGACAAGCATTCAAGCAGCAAAAGTCACAGCAGCTCTCACAAGTCTTCCAGCAAGGACAAAGAACGTAGTGATAAAGACAAAGATCGCAGTGAGAGGAGCAAAGAACGTAGTGACCACGATTCTAGCAGTAAGGACAGGGAGCGCAGTGATAAAGACAAACACCGCAGTGACAAGGACAAACACCGAGACAAGGATAAAAGTGATAAAGATCGCAGTGACCGTAGCAAAGATAAGAAGTCCAGTAGTAGTGATGAAAAGAAATCATCTTCAAAAGACAAGGATCGCGAACATAAAAGTTCATCATCTAAGGAACATAAATCAAAAGATAGAGACAAGGACCGTGAAAAGGATCGTCACAAGAGTGATAAACACCGAAGTGATAAAGACAAACATTCTAGTTCAAAAGACAAACACAGGTACAAAATAATTTGTAATGACAAAAAATGCCTACTCATTTTTTTACAGTAACCTTTTTTCACTATGTTTACATTAATGACATTTTGTTTGTCAAGTATAAATTTTTGTCATTTTCTAAATTATGTTTAAATTATTTTATGAAACAATCGATACAATAACACTGTAATTTTGTAGATATTATGATTTGCTATTATTTTCCATAAAATATTTTGAAGTACCCAATATTAAGTTTTATTATTTTACATGTCAACAGTTCAAGCAAATCTAAGGATAGAAGCAAAGATGAAAAAGATAAGGTCAAATCTGAGAGCCAGGAATGGTCTGGTAAAGAAGAGCCCATGCAGGTTTGTTATTTATAATTTAACAGTGCTGGTAATAATTATGTTACTATCATTGTTTTTTACATTATATGATATGCTCACAGGTAGACATCCCAGAAATAAAGCATGAAATCAAAGAGGAAAGTGAAGATGGTTTTGCTGGAGCAAATACTACTGTTTCATCATGTGATTATTCATTATCACAATTCAAAGATGATCCCCTGTCTGAACTGCCTCCAGAAGAAGAAAGTGCTGAAGAGGATAAACCACTGGTGAGGACATACTTTCTGCTACTTAAAATTTATTGCCATTCTCTGAATATAATTAGATAGTATCTTAGTTTTTCTTGTAACTAACTTTTTTATATTTATTGCAGTTGAATCGCATAGCTGCTAAAAAACGAGTAGCCAGTGAGAGTGAAGAGGATATTCCTCTCCTTAAACGGAAGAAGCAGAAGAAAAAGGTTAAGAAAGGTAATTATTTATCATTATATTAAATTGAAATTGGATTTTTTTCGAATTGCCAATTAATAAAACTATAGAATCAACTAATGTAGTTTCATAATTGCACATTTTACACTAATTTGCAATTTTATTGTTTTTTTGTTGTAAACCGTGATTTAGTATTGGCTTTGCCAAAACAACATTAGATGCCACCCGTATTGAGAAGTGACTTTTGACTTGGCAACAATAGTTGTCTCCTGTAGGAAGGTTAAAATTATTAATGATCACATCATCATCATAAACTTAAAACTTTTTTATTCTTCACAGAGACATATGATGATGAAGAGGAAGAAGAAGACGTGAAGCCTAAGAAAAAGAAAGTCAAGCCAGAGAAGACAGAAGCAACTAAAGTGAAAACTGAAACAGATGGAGTCCCCACAAAACGGAAAAAGAAACAAGAAGATGAGCAGGAAGTTTGGAAATGGTAATGTTAAAATTACTTATAAAAGTTATGAGGAAAACTAGTTTCTAGAAACGAGATTTCCATTTGGCTTCGATTTGAACTGAAATAAAAATAGTGCTATCAAACCACCAACGCCATCTATTGAAAGATTGCATCAAATTGAGATCAAAACCAACATAGATGGCGTGCGGAACGTTTCCTTAGCATCATTCGATGTCATTACAGACAGGTGATAAGTTTGAGGTTATGTAGTAGATATTACTCAACTGAGTATTATGTTTATACCTTTAGTAATAAAACTTGCAAGTTCTCGCCCCGTATTACGACAGAGATCTATTATTATATTAAGCATAAGACAACGTCGTGTAAAAAGATTTGTGTATGTTATAATTTTATTGTGAATTTGATGCTATAGATAGATAATTATGATTTTCTATCATTTAATCAAAATTTATTTGTTTAGGTGGGAGGAAGAAAAGAAGGATGATGGTACAAAGTGGACTTTCCTTGAACACAAAGGCCCCTTATTTGCACCACCCTATGAACCCCTTCCAGAAAATGTGAAATTCCGGTATGATGGTAAAGTGATGAGACTTTCTGAAGATGCTGAGGAAGTAGCTGGATTTTACGCTCGGATGTTGGACCACGACTACACCACCAAATCTACATTCAACAATAACTTCTTTGCTGACTGGAAAAAAGTAATGACACACGAAGAAACCAAAATAATCAAAGACCTTTCTAAATGTGATTTTAAAGAAATGCAACTTTATTTCCAAAGTGTTTCTGAAAAGAATAAAAATCGCTCAAAAGAAGAAAAGGCTGAACTTAAAGCCAAAAATGAAGAAATACAAAAAGAATATGGATTCTGTACTATAGATGGTCATAAAGAAAAAATTGGCAACTTTAGAATAGAACCTCCTGGACTTTTTAGAGGCCGTGGTGAACATCCAAAGATGGGAATGTTAAAACGGCGAGTTATGCCTGAAGATGTTTTGATCAATTGCTCCAAGGATAGTAAAGTGCCCAAACCCCCTGCAGGCCATAAGTGGAAAGAAGTCAGACATGATAATACTGTAACTTGGCTTGCCTCTTGGACAGAAAATGTACAAGGACAGGCTAAATACGTCATGTTGAATCCTAGTTCAAAGTTGAAAGGAGAAAAGGATTGGCAGAAATATGAGACAGCCAGAAAGCTTCATAAGTGCATTGATAAAATCAGAGAAAATTACCGCGCCGATTGGAAAGCAAAGGAAATGAGAGTTCGACAAAGAGCAGTAGCCTTGTATTTTATTGATCGCCTGGCGTTGAGAGCTGGTAATGAGAAAGATGATGACCAAGCAGATACGGTTGGTTGTTGTTCTTTAAGAGTAGAACACATTGAATTACATAAAGAAAAAGATGGAAAAGAATATGTAGTTGTATTTGATTTCCTTGGTAAAGATTCTATTAGATATTACAATGAAGTACCAGTAGAGAAAAGAGTATTCAAGAATCTCGAACTTTTCATGGAAAGCAAAAAAGGAAGTGATGATCTGTTTGACAGGCTGAATACACAAACATTGAATGAACATCTTAAAGATTTGATGCCAGGATTGACTGCAAAAGTTTTCCGTACTTATAACGCTTCTATTACTTTGCAAAGACAGTTGGACGAGTTGACGGATGGTGACGCTACTGTACCAGAAAAAATTCTAGCTTATAACAGAGCAAACCGTGCTGTAGCCATCCTCTGTAACCATCAGCGGGCAGTACCCAAAGGTAGGTAAATTTGTCATCCTAAAATGTTACGATTTTATAACTTACCGGTACATACAAATAACATGCAATGGATTGCAAGATAATTTAATAAATGTCATTATTACAGGTCATTCCAAGTCAATGGAAGCTCTGAAAGAGAAAATACAAGCTAAACGCGATCAAATCGATGAAGCCGAAGAAGATCTGCGACAGTCCTCTAAAGCGGCGAAGCGCGGGTCAGTCAAGGAAAAACTCGCGTGTGATAAGAAGAGCAAGGCTCTTGAACGTCTGAAGGATCAGCTGAGGAAACTAGAACTACAGGAAACCGACCGCGACGAGAACAAAACCATTGCACTTGGAACATCAAAGCTTAACTATCTCGACCCTCGTATTTCAGTTGCTTGGTAAGTTAACAGTAAACTAATCTACTAAAAAAGCATGTTAGCTTTTACTATACATATTTAATTATTTTTCAGTTTTACGTTACATAATTTTTTTACAGGTGCAAGAAACACGATGTCCCTATTGAGAAAATTTACAACAAAACTCAGCGCGACAAGTTTCGTTGGGCGATCGACATGGCCGGTCCCGAATATATCTTTTAAGGTAAATCGTAGCATTAGCTATACTTTTATTTTATATACTATACATACTTCAGTTTGCAAACGTTCCACTTTATATATTTTTTGTTTATATTCAACAAGTTTTTTTATGAATTCATGACCTGATTATTAGGAATTAGTATGATTATAGTATTTATCTAACAAATTTTTGGACCCCAAACAACTCATTGTTCCTCACCAATTAGGATCCAAATTAGAAGTCTGATTCTAATTTATTTTTATTTAGAACACACCTAGTTACAATTTTTTGCTTATAGTTTTATAGGTTAAGTTTTAGTGTTTAGAAAGTAACTAGTATAAGATTTTTTGTACAGATTTTCAATCTGTTTTTTCTCTAGATTTTACGTGTTATGAATCAATCGGAAAAAATAAATAATGACGCTTTTTCTAAAGAGTAATAAAGTAATAATAATGATAGTTTGGTGTTTTTGTACATAAATAGTAAGGACTCCATAATTTTCGATTTATCTTTTATAAATCGACATCTACTTAATTTGAGTCTTCATCAAACAAAATTAGTAGAATATTTTAAGATAGACAATTTCGATAAAATCTGGAGAAATCAAGTGTGTAGCTTGTAGTTGGAAATGATGTAAATTATTACGGTGTGTATGTGCACAATGTGCAGTAGTAAATGTTGTAAAGTAAGAAATAATGTTATTTTATTTTTATAAGGCTAGGATCTAAAATTGTGGCAATAGCCGTCAATGTTACAAAAGGTACAACATTAAAAGTAAATTTGTAATAATGTATTACAGTTTGTGTGTCTTGTAAATAGGAAATTTTTACCATGTCATACAATTATTGTCAAAATATGAGATTATCCCAAATAAATACAACATTGACACTAGTATTTTGGTTTTTTATTGTTTTGAACCATATTCAACACATCTGTAAATGAACATTTAGCACCATTAGAGTTTTTTTTATTATGTATTATTTTTAAAGAAATTAATATCTTCCAAACCACTCGGCATATAAGTAAGACCAGATTTATCCTTTTCTAATAAATTATAACCATCGCCATAACCTGCAAAGATAAAGAATAAAATAATATAACTAAAATAACATGCAGTCTGATTAAGAAAATTTAACTAATAGTTTCCTAAGGTCCAAAAGGTGACAAATTATCACCCTATATCGCCTATGTACTATCGGGGACTCGAACGCCTTGACACCTTAAGGGCCTAAGTTGTTTGCACACACACGATCGATAATGCTCCGCCCCCGTTCATTCATGTTTCGGGTCTAAGCAGCGTCGGCGCACCACTGTAGATGTTTGCCCTAGCAAACCAAGCTCTATGTAAAGCAATTAGGATTGAGTATTGCTTATTACCCGCATCCGTGGCGCTCGTTTGGCAACTCAATACTCAATACTTTTATTGCATAACCACATTAGCATTCACATTTATAGGTCTTACAATTTAGGCAGTTATACAATGTGCAACGTCGCATTTTAGTCAATTTGAAACCCAATAAAAAATCGCTACAAAATATTATATGAGTATTTCTCAAAAAAAGTGTACGTAACGAAACTGTAGTAACGAAATAGTAAGGCCATAAGGCTTGTTATACATTGGCGAAATATTGTGAATGCTCTTTATTTATTCAATTCGAAATATTTGTAAGTATGCACTCAAATACGGGGTAATATTAAGGGGTTAGAAATAAAATAAGGGAGTAATCATTCATACTATTTTAATAAAATTATTTTTTTTCCATCATGTTTATCCATTTTGAGTCGTTCTCTGTAAGCTTTTTGCCTTTCGGCATTGGTTTTTGGCGGCATTCCTAAAAAAACAAAAGAAGTAATCACATAAAAACGTAATCTAAATGATTTGATAATTTTTTGCTGGTGGCACTTCTGTAAAGCAGATAGTATCCAATCCTTTTGTTATTAACGCTCTATATTTTTTGAAATTAATTAAGTAGTGAATATTACTATGCTTAGTCAGGTAATAACAGTATACACTCAGCATTATGTTGTACTTTTTCGTAACGTAACGAAATTCGCAAAAAACGTAACGAAATATTAGACAAAATGAGATCAGAAACAAGTATTTTTTTGATAAAATTTGTTACAGCATAGTTACGGTCAAAGTTAGGTGGTGCAACTCAGCCTAAAACTAAGAAAGATTGAAGAAAAAGAAACATTTCGTTTTAAACCTTAACCGTATGATAATAAAGTGCACAATGGTATTTCGTATTGCAACCTAAGCCCTGATTGTCTCTTATTGGTCGTAGTAAAAATATAGTAAAATGCGTAACCAATTAGAGACGGGGTGAGCACGTGACCGGAGCGATGCGCTTACGCTAAAATTTCTACAAAGTGGTCAGGCGGAAGAGTCCCCGATAGTACAGTCGGCATCAAATAGTTCGTGACACCCAAAGTAGCCAATAAGTTCGCAACACGTCTTTGTTTCAATGAGGTTCATTTCGATTTTTAATTGTTAATGCAGATTTAAAGGGGTAAGAAATCCATAATATACTGTCCGAAAAAATGTTCTACGACAAAAATCGATGAAGTTATGGTTATGCTCAAATTACTAAAAAAGAGTGACATCACGCGGCCCTGCGTACGTTGACGTCAGCTCCACATAAGCCAGTCCTGGGTTTCGAAAGTTTTAAGACGCTTTCGGGAGACTGGTGGCTTATCCCGAGACCAAATTCTGAACAGCGCCAGTGCACATCGCAGAGGGATGACCGTTTTTTCATGTCAACCTCTCTATGAAATCGTCATTTGACTGGTATCGACGTCCAGCAAGAGCTCAGAAATGTTCGTAGGATAGCTGTTAGCGAGTGGACAGTTCGTCTAAGATAGCAATAGAATTTGACCCCAAAAAGGCCTGCCACAGGCTCGAAACTGACGGTAGGTCACCGACAAGCACGCTTTCCACCATTTCCGTGGTATAGGGGGTAAATAAATAGGCCGCAACTCGCGACGTATCAAACAGGTGTTACATGTCTTTTTCCTTACTTCTTCACATCAGGCGGGATATCTTTTTAAATGCTGGTGTGATTTATTAATTTATATCAATTATTTGGCATCAATTTAAAGTTAAAAAAGTTTAATCTTTAAAATGGTGCTACTTTTTTTGTTACTAACAAATTCGTTAGTACACAAGATTGCGTGGAAACAACTTCATGTAAGTGATTCCATACTTTTGCTCGCGAGTGTATTTGACGCTGACTGTACTGTACCTTTCATGAAGTATGTAGCCACACTGAAACGACGGAATGAAGGTAGATAGATCGGCAGAACAAGCTAGTTTCAGGCTCGGTTTCCACTAAGGCGGAGAATTGTCGGGGCGTCAAATATTTCTATAGAATTTTACAGCGGTGACGGCGCGGCGCGGAGCGGTGAGGAAATAATGAAAAATCTGATTGGTTATTCAAAACAGTTCTCCGCGCGGGCGCCTTCAAATTAGAGACGCGAGGAACCGCTGCAGTGCAGCCACTATGGCGCTGGCCACGCCGCTACTAGTTTTCTCATACAATTTTAGAAGCGCAGTCGCAGCGCCACTACCACTACTGTGACAAATGCAACATGCGCGCCATAGTGGCGCCACTGCGTTTTCATGAAAGGGTGATACCCTAGAGGCCTAGAACATTTCATAGAGCGACTCGTTGTTTTTTTTGTTACTAAATGCTTTAGTCTATACTCACGTAGCCCTTCAAGTACCAGCGAATCGAGACACACAATAGATTTTTTTTTGCAACCATACAATACATTACATACCTAACTGTTTCATAAGTTTCGTTGGTGCATTCCTCAAATGTAAAGGCACAGGAGGCAAAGGGCCTTTTGTTTCTTGTATGAATCTTTGACATTGCTTCATAGCGCAGTACACCTCGCGGCTCTTTTCTGCTCTTGCTAATCTAACTGCGCATTGCACCAGTAAGACGTCACACTCAGGCATTCCTATATTTTGACATCCTTGCAAACACGCAACAGCTTCTACTAACGCGTTTGGGTCAGCTAAACCTGGAAAAAAATCATGAATTTTAATGTATGGTAAAATTTTAGACATCACAGGTAAACGATAATGCAATGCATTACGTTTCGTTGCGATGAGACACGCACTTCGTGTAGTGCGATTAGGTCATAATTTTGTTTAAGGTTAACGAAGTAAAACTTCAGCATCAGCATGGCTCAACTTTCCTTTTTACAGGGGTCTTGGCACTATTTGACAGTTATTTCAGTGTGTTTACTGACCGAATTTATGATACTGCAATAATTACGTAGTTGAAGAGATTAGAGATCTCACATCACATAATCTTAGATTATTAATCTAAGCACATAATTATGTATGAATTTAGTGTTGCTTTCAGTTTCACATCTCTCCCTCTCTCTTTTTGTCTTTAATCTATAGATATAAAAGCGAAATACCACTCACTGGTTAATCACGAAATCTCAGAAACTATAACACATTGAAACTTGAAATTTGGCAGGTAGCTTGCAGGTAGGTTCCTTAGAGTGTAGGTAGACATCCACTAAGAACGGACTTTACGAAACTCCAGATCTAAGGGGATAAAACGGGGTCCACGCGTACGAATAAGCTGGCAGCCGATATATTATGCATAATCCCTACTGCCCTACTAATATTATAAATGCGAAAGTACTGAACCGATTTTGATGAAAGGCATAGAGATAGTTTGAGTCCCGGGAAAGGACATAGGATAGTTTTTTAATCCCGGTTTTTGAAACAGGGACGGACGCGCGCGATAGTATTTCTGTGACAAACAAAATTTCACGCGGGCGAAAAGCTAGTAGGTAGGTATGTAATTACTACTTAAATTATGAAATACTAACCGATATCTTCACATGCCATACGAATTAATCGTCGCGCTATGTACAGAGGATCTTCACCACCACTGAGAGCCCTAGTGATCCAATATAACGCCGCATTGTCGTCGCTAGCTCGTATTGACTTGTGTAAAGCTGATATTATATTGTAGTGTTCCTCTCCTTTTCTATCATAAAGCATATGCGTCCTCTGAAAAAAAGGCAAATAGATGATGAAGGTTAAAATCATTAAGTACTTATATTTAAACACATTCTTTAGTAGAAACCTTAATTCCTTGTTGAATGTCTTCTAGAGAAATAACTGCTGGGCCTTCTTTACAGACATCTTGTTGTGTATTCCTGGAAGCTATAGTAAGTTCGAGAGCCCCAAGGGCTATCCTCGCATCGCCATCACAAACTTCAGCTAACCATTGAAGAGACTCCTGAGTTATTATAACCCTGAAAAATAACAAGAGGTTATTTTGTTTCCATGAAACAGTATGAATTATTTGTGAAACAAAAGAAATTAGAATACATCATTGTAGAATTTGTAGGTAACTTAGAAAGCTCTAAAATAAATTAGATGCTTTAGTCTAGAATCAGACTAATTTGGTTTAAATATTTGAAACACCCTTAGTTTTACCTTGGAATGGCATCCTCTGAATGGTTTCCTTTAGAAATATCTTTTTCTGCTATAATAATTTCCTTATTGATTTGAATTGCCTTTTTTAAAATTAACAACACATCATCCACAGACAACTTCTGCATGACAATGACTCTACAACGGCTTAAAAGTGCATTGTTCAGACTAAATGATGGGTTTTCTGTAGTAGCACCAATAAGTGTGATAGTACCATTTTCAACATGAGGTAAAAATGTATCCTGCTGGAGTTTATTAAACCTGTAAATAAAGTTGCACACACTGCAGAACAGGCACAAACTCATTGAAATATACATACCAAATCTAAAATTAATTAAGTTTAATACCTGTGTATTTCATCCATAAAAAGTATAGTTTGTCGCTTGAATTGTGCTTCATTTTTGGCAACTTTTACAATTTCTTTCACATCATTTATGCCTGCCATAGTTGCTGATAATTTTACAAATCTCATGTTTTTGCTTTCTTTGCACATGTGACTTACAACATTAGCCAGGGAAGTCTGAAAAATATGAGATTAATGACATTTTAGTGTATGTAAAGCATCAACATCCTCTGTGTATTAATATAGTTATTGACAAAAAAAAGTTAGAATTTATTAACTTTAAATCATATGAAACATGATTAAAAAAATATCTCAAAGAATTTCTTCTATAATAATATGTAAGGTATACAATTAATTTACCTTTCCACAACCAGGCGGTCCCCATAAAATCATGTTAGGAACTTTTCTCTGCTCCAGCATTGAATATAACATAGTGCCGGGCCCAAAAGCCTCCTTGTGTCCAACAATATCATTCAAACTTACTGGTCTTAAAGTTTCAGCCAGAGGCACTGATTTAGTTTCAACTGAGTTCTGTAATTTATTTGCAGCTGCTATGGTAGGTGTATCCTATAGGTGAATAAAAATTATTCAAAATAGCTTTAGCCTTGCACTGTAAAACAACAACTTAAGATTTTGAATTCATTGTCCATAATAATGATATAGTAAATACTTTCCAAGGTTACATACAAAAAAATATAAGAAAGTAATAATACCTACCTTTTGTTGCTGTTGTGATGTACAAGAATCCAATTTAATGCGTTTCTCACTATGAGAACTGTTTTTTTTATGAAAGGGACTGTCTCTTTTACAACCACTTTGCTCTGGGGTGTTTAAAAATAAGCACTTATTAACATGTTCCTCAATTAATTCCTGTTGGAATTCTCGACTGCATACTGGACAAGAAATGCTATTTGTTTTCGTGGAATGTGACATATTATATAGTTTTCTATCCTACCAAGCAAATATAATTTAAAGTTTCACCCAGTAAATTCTTGCGTTAGCATCAAATTTAAGTTTAAAAATGTTTCAAACACAAGGATAAAAGCCATCGGTTGATTTGATTGAGAAATTTCGCTTCGCGGTTCAAGCACATCAGCTGTCAGCATGACATTGATGACATCTACCATGTGGCCATGACAGTCCGAACCACAGATATGATATGGTTAGGTCCGAACTCAACTAAGCTCTTTTTCGTATTTCAACTAAAAAAAGTGCGTAACTTTTTTCTGAGATTTTAGATTGCATAGTATCCAATGCATTTGTAGTACTCGCTACGCTAAGTTTTATTAACGAAAAGTCGACTAAAACACCCGGTTTAGACTCCTTTAACCTAATCCATATCAGAGCCCCGATTACGGTAATTTTTAACGTCACCAATCCAGACGCGTTTCATCGATTCTGCGATACGATTGGTCAAAACAGCTGACGTACGCTGTTTTGATCATTACGCTGACCAATCGTGTCGCAGAATCGATGAAGCGCGTCTGGATTGGAAACGTTAAAAATTACCGTAATCGGGGCTCTGAGCTCAGGGCTGACGTCAGCTGTTTTGACCAATCCGTATCGCAGAATCGAAGAAATCGAAGAAGCGCGTCTGTAATTCTGTATTGGACACGTTAAAAATTAGCGTAATCGGGGCACTGTGCCTTTAACCGGTCGCGGTGGTGATGGTGAACGAGTGAGCCTCGCGTGGAAAGGGGTGTAGAGATGGGTTTCCACCCGGGCAAAAACCCACATGAGGGTAAAAACCCAATAAAAACCCGTTTCATTCCACCCGTGGGTGTTTACACCAGGTGAAAACAAATAATTATATAATTATTTCAATTGGTATCTTTTCTTTATTTTTATTGAATTTTTCTCATTTAAGTTTATTGATTAATAAGTATTAAATCAAATTTAACACTAATATGCATTTATATCGTGGCCAAATCGTAAAATTGATCACGTTATGATGATGTGACCAATTATTTTATAAAATGGTGTTATTTCAAGAATCGTTGAACCGATTTAGAAGAAATTTAGTAGGAACACAATAATTTGTGATCATGGCAAGGACATGGAGGGGGCCCCCCTCCATGTCCTTGCCATGATCACAAATGATTGTGTTCCTACTAAATTTCTTCTAAATCGGTTCAACGATTCTTGAAATAACACCATTTTATAAAATAATTGGTCACATCATCATAACGTGATCAATTTTACGATTTGGCCACGATATAAATGCATATTAGTGTTAAATTTGATTTATTACTTATTAATCAATAAACTTAAATGAGAAAAATTCAATAAAAATAAAGAAAAGATACCAATTGAAATAATTATAAAATTATTTGGGTTTGGGTTTTTATTGGGTTTTTACCCTCATGTGGGTTTTTACCCGGGTGGAAACCCATCTCTACTTGGGTGGGATAAATTCGATGGGATTATCCATTATCCACAGATATTGATTATCCAACGATAAAAAAAATCTATTCGAGTGTATAATAAATTTCAAATTTCGGAACGTAAAGTGTCACTATTGTCAATGTCATTGCTATGACTGACTTGTTGTTAGCCAAATGTCAAATTCTTGTTTACGTATGACGTCCACAAACTACTTTGGCTGAGTAAAAAAGTTTTGAAACGACTTGTGTTGTGGAAAAATGATAACTCCATGAGAATTCTATTATTATAAAATAATACATTATTGCTAAAGTTATAAAATCCAAAATGAACGGAAATGATCTTAGTTTAACAAAACGTAAGGATAAGAAAAAACTAAAGGAGGTCATAGAATCACAGGAACCAATTTCAAATGAATTAACACTATTTAACACTGAAAGAGAAGTGGTAAGTACATAAAATAAATCAAAGGTATCCTCTATTGATCACAATATTAAGCAAACAAGTTTTGTATGCGTGTTTACTTAAATTCTGCACCAGTAATTATTTCCAGTTTGTATCAGAAAAATGATTCACAAAGTACGGCTATTTATCGGTATCTATCAAAACATATATCATAGTACAATCTACTTACTCTCATAGAGCCTTATAGACTATACTATTAAGCTGGTGCAGCTTGATAACTTTATATTATGCAGATTTATCCTGAAAAAAGTTTTTTGAACACTTATTTCCCTTAACATTATTTACCTGTATATTTTAGGATGATGGTGCACCTTCTGAGAGTGTAAATAAACTTCCTCAAGGAAACTGCTCAGTGGAAGAAATGAAAAGACCATCGAGCTTTTATATTCATCTGGATATTGATGTTGTGTGTTTCTTACTTTTGATGCTGGGCCTATCTACTAGACTTTATAATTTAGACCAACCCCGTTACATAGTGTGAGTATTGTAGCATATTTTCACATATCATTTACATTATATTGATCATAATAAATTATGCATTATCTATAAAGTGATAATACTTTTCAGGTTTGATGAGTTACATTATGGTCGATATGTGTCTCTTTACGCTAAAGGTGTTTTTTTCTTTGATGCTCACCCACCTCTTGGAAAACAACTACTGTATTTAGCTGGACGTGCTGCAGGATATGATGGGAATTTTACATTTGACCGAATAGGATCACCATATACTGAAAGTGTGCCAGTAAAAGCTCTTAGACTAATTCCAGCAGTTGCTGGAAGTATAATAGTCTCAATCACATATCAACTGATGCTAGAAGTATCTTGCTACCAATGGACAGCTATGCTAGCAGCTTTGTTAATTTTATTTGGTAAGAAAATTATAACTAAAGTAGTATATTATATTATCATTTCATATTCAAAACTAATATTGTTATGTTTATGTTGCAGAAAATTGTTTCCTAGCACAATCAAGGTTTATGCTATTGGAAAGCATTCAAATATTCTTTGGCTTATGTGGTCTCCTATGTGTTGTTAAAAGTACTCGTAGAAATGGGATAATTGGTGTGTTATGGTTATGCACAGGGGCTCTGTCTTTAGGATGCTGTTTTTCGTAAGTTACCTTATCTACAAATAATATTTTTGTTTATATTATTTTTTTTAAAACATGTCTTTCACATTTTAGGGTGAAATACTCTGGTATTTACACATACTTTTTGGCTCTACTCATAGTTGGACGTCAAGTGTGGCAACAAATTAGTCACACTAAATCAGGACTCCACCTTGCACTGTCTAGTTTATGGCGACTGCTGGTGTTAATTGTGTTGCCACTGTCAATCTACATTGGCGTGTTCTACGCACACCTGATGATGTTGCCGAAAGCTGGTCCTCACGATAGTGTGATGACTAGTGCCTTTCAAGCATCTCTTCAAGGTGGGCTTGCTAGCATAACGCGCGGGCAACCCTTACATGTGTCCCATGGATCTCAAATAACTCTGAGGTAATTGCACATGAAGCCACAATTTTTTTCTCATTATTTATGAGATACTATGAAAAAATCACTACATTGTTACACTGAAATACATGTCCAATATCTATTTTGCAAAAATATCATAAGGATATGTAACATAATCCTTGTCAATGGATGTCTTCTCCCTTCTTTGTCTGTCAATTGTGCTAATTTAGTTTTGTATTTCTTTTGGTGTGCAATAAACCTATTCCTCGATGTAACTCAGGCACACACATGGGCGCACGTGCTGGCTGCACTCGCACGCACACGTGTACCCCGTGCGCTACTCGGACGGGCGCGGCTCCTCGCACCAGCAGCAGGTCACGTGCTACAGCTTCAAGGACGTCAACAACTGGTGGATCGTCAAGCGGCCGGAACAGGCGTCGCTGGCCGTCGGACACCCGCCCGACTCTATTCGCCACGGAGATGTGATTCAGCTTCTGCATGGCATTACCAGCGGCGCGCTCAACTCTCACGACGTCGCAGCACCTGTTTCGCCGCAATCGCAGGTATGTTGTATACGTCAACAACTGGTGGATCGTCAAGCGGCCGGAACAGGCATCGCTGGCCGTCGGACACCCACCCGACGCCATTCGCCACGGAGATGTGATTCAGCTTCTGCATGGCATTACCAGTCGCACGCTCAACTCTCATGACGTCGCTGCACCTGTTGCACCGCAATCGCAGGTATTTTAAACACGTCAACAAGTGGTAGAACGTCAAGCGGCCGGAGCAGGCCTCGCTGGCCGTCGGACACCCGCCCGACGCCATTCGTCACGGAGATGTGATTCAGCTTCTGCATGGCATTACCAGTGGCGCGCTCAACTCTCATGACGTCGCTGCACCTGCTTCACCGCAATCGCAGGTATGTCAACAACTGGTGGATCTTGATATATTATATGGTACAAGTGTTGTATAAGTATGCTACTCCTGGGTTCTTATTTAAACTCGAATAGCAACACATATAAGAAGGAAACTTTTGTTGAGCCACAGAGCCGCTGCGCTGCATTCCCTTGCAGCTGCCATTAATGTTACGTTAATAAATTTTCATTCCATGTTCTATTCTCTATTCTAGGAAGTGTCTTGCTACATCGATTACAACGTTTCGATGCCAGCTCAGAACCTTTGGCGGGTGGACATAGTGAACCGGGACAGCGAGGACGCCACGTGGGACAGTATTCGGTCCCAGGTGCGCCTCATACATGTGGACTCGGGCTCCGCGCTGCGGTTCAGCGGCCGGCAGCTGCCTTCTTGGGGCTTCCATCAACACGAAGTAGTCGCCGACAAGGTCCTTTCTCATCAGGACACAGAGTGGAATGTGGAGGAACATCGATACACAAAAGGTCAGTTGCAAAAATAAGTTAAGTTACACTTTCTTCTTTTTGAAGCCTTTGGGTTTACTCCGAAGAGCTGTTAACGTAGTTCGGGTCTCTCTGTCACTATCGCTCATGATGGCTGCCTTTGCGTGAGAGGGATGGCAACATTCGAAACTTCGGATAACGTTTTTCGGTCAAATCAAATCAAATCAAAATTATCTTTATTTGTTTAGACTAATTAAATTAGTTCTTGCAAATCGTCAAATGCTCTTAAGGAGCCTATACATGTCTCATTCTTTTTTTGCCCTACCAGCGCTTCGAGACAAACATTTGGCAAGTGCTGAGAAGAAGCGCCACAACAAACTCAGTCACCAAAGGGTCCATTTTTTTACCCCGCTGGTCCATTTTTAGTCCGAGATTGACAACGAGAGATTGGATATTGCGTTTGAGTCCATTTGGGCTGAAAGACAACGAAAAATTAACGGGTTAATTAAAAAATCCTTGCAGCTGAAGATAGAAGAGAGAGAGAACGCGAGTTAACAACAGCGGAAATGATACCAACAGCCGTGACCCAGCTATCCTTCTGGGAGAAATTCATCGAGCTGCAGTACAAGATGATCACGCACGCGCCCGACGCGCCGCTCGGCCACATGTTCGCGAGTGAGCCGGCCGAGTGGCCGCTTTTGGTCCGCTCCATCGCGTACTGGTTGTCTCCTAATTCCAATGTAAGTATAGAAGCACTGTGCTTTTGATTTCAAATATCGTTAACCAAACTAACCCTTGCAGTCACCAATTTCCAACTTATTGGATCATCAGTTGGGACAGGATAAAAGTTATGTTGATTGTTGAGCCCAGAAATACCTACTATGAAATACCTTTTTTGTTCACAGGCACAAATACACTTGATAGGCAATTTGGTAACATGGTATGCTGGTACAATCTCGGTACTGGTATACAGCGTATTGCTCGCCGTGTACGCGATTCGTCAACGCCGCGCCTGTGTGGACCTGCCCTCTGCTGCAACGCAAAGGTTCTATGATGCTGGGTTTATCCTCTTTTTAGGATACTGGATACACTATCTTCCTTACTTTTTCATGGATAGAACTCTTTTTCTTCACCATTATTTACCTGCTTATGTATTCAAAATCCTTCTTCTAACTTTTGTTATTGACCATTTGTACTATGTATTACAGATGAGAGAAAAAACTAAAGCATTTACTAATATATTTATAGTAGGTGTATTTGTATGGTTGGGATATGTTATCCTTACATTTAAAAAGTTCAGTGTCCTCAACTATGGCAATGCAGATCTCACTGAAAACGATCTCATGAGTCTTAGGTGGAAAGACACATGGGACTTCATTTTACATAAAAGGGTGTAATAATACATAGTTTAAAATATGATATTTTTACATATAGAATCTCGATTATCCGGACTTCGATTATCCGGATATCCGATTATCCGGACTCATTCTTCATGGTTTTCTAATTACCGATTCAGGATCTGGACCCATAAAAACCGAAGGCGCCGCCAACGTAACATGGTACGGACGTCTTTTTGGTTCATTGTTAAAAGAAATGGATGTCCAATGGTCTAAAATTTAGATTTTTAGACTCTATATAAAATGATGTATTGAAAACCCTTTCTGTTGTAAAAAGTTAATTATTGTTTGATTTTACTTTGAAATCGATTATCCGGATTTTCGATTATCCGGACCACCCCTGTTTTTAATTGATCCGGATAATCGGGATTCTACTGTAATTTCACATACAATACTCAGTTAAGTAGACTAAGTATTTTGAAAAAAATATTCAAAATGTAATTATTATCACTGTCTGTGTCTGTATCTGTCTATATTTAGAGATTATCTGCCTATCCTATTTTCTTAGGCTTTTCTTACTGTCTGCCATTCCTAAAATAAAGTATAATTAATTAGTAATAAGTGAAATAGTATTAGTTTTATAAATAAATGTAGATAATGTAAAAACTAAAACAATACATTTAAGATTAGATTTAAAATAGGTATATGATGCATTTACATATATTGTTAACAATCCTTAGCTTCAAGTATATTTTATTTGAGGTGCTGGATGTGCAATTCCGTCCATTAAGATCTGTTGTCTGATCTGTTGTTTAGAAAAATGTATAATTAATAATTATTCTTACTAATTTTGTATCAATATGTCAAAATAAAAAAACATAGCCTTTATTTTACAAAATTGTTTTATTATGAACATTACATACTTTTTAGAAAATTAGCGACTTGATGAAGGCTCTACTTCCATAGCTTGGACTGGGTGGACTGCAACTGCCTCAACCTCCAGAGGGATCACTTTCTGCTTGAGCACGGCAGTTGTTCCAAGGGGATATCTGTATGAACCTTGTTTCTTGCCCTAAAAATAAATCCTTGTAATATAAAAAGTGTAAATTATTGCCATAAACAAACATTTCAGTTTTTAAAGTCTAAAGAAAATATATTTTCTGAGTAAGAAAGGTACATATTAGCAAGCATACCTTAACATTTGCTTCCTCATAAGTACGCAAGTACTGTGCAGGGCCAGTATTGCGGATTACACACAGGTCCACATTGGAACCTGATCCCAAGTCATTGAAGATACCAGCTGCGATTGCATCTCGGACCAGCTTCTTGCCTTCTTCCTCACTGAGGTTAGGCTTCCACCCTGCTTCAAATACAGCCATAGCAGCAAGAGAACCAGATCCTGGAATGGAAAAGAGTATGTGACAAGATTGTAAGTTTAGAAATCATCTCCATGTACAAAAAAAATTACATTTACTTAAAGATCATACCCATTGTAGCATAGGGAAGTTTGTCAACAGATCCATGGGGGTAAATGCAGTAGATGTGTGGCCCAGTTCTGTCCACGCCACCCAGAACTAAAGCTGCGCCAATGTATCCCTGATAGCGGAACAGCATGCGCTTCAATAGGGTTGCGGCGGTCTCCACCGGCACCGTGCGGCCGGTGTGTAAGCGCTGCAGCTCCAGCTGCGAAGCCACTGTCTGAGTAGTCATTTCCGTGTCTGCGGCAGTACCCGCCCCGCAGCAGTACATGTTGCCTGCCAGATAGTGAATCTTCTGGCAGTTTTTGTCCGATACAACAGTGTTTTCGGTTGCTCTCGTGTCTGCTCCAAGAATGACGCCATCTGCGTATATTATACCGACAATGGTGGTACCAGTTTTAGTCGCTTTTGGAGCTGGAAAACCCTTCTGCTCAAGGAACGCATTTCTGAAAAGAGAATTGAAGATTACAGCGAATTTAACGGTGAAAAAGCCTAAACAAAGATGTTGAATGTATGAATGGACGCTTTTAGGTTTTGCTTACCGCTGAAAATTTTCAAAAGAAAAGCCTGGGGCTGGGATTTCTGGTACAAGTACAGAAGCCATATTTTTCTAGAAAAAACCCACTTCTAATAGAATTAATAGAAATTAAAACCACCGAATCATGCAAGAAACACACAGAAGTTCACAGAAGCTGTCAAAATTCGATGACTTTTTGAAAAGCGACTCTGACAGAACAATTTTTAGTAGGTTTGTTTTTTTATTTTTAATATCGACAAAGGAATAAAATATTCAAGTTAGTAATTTTTTTATTTTTATAATGGTAACATTGAATTGTACGAGGCTGTTTATGATTGGTAAATTTATTATCACCTAAAAATGTTCTTTACTGGTTTGCAATAAAGTCTGAATTAGTGTTAAATATTCATGCAATTATGATTTTATTCAACTGTGTTCTATCATTGACCAATCGCAGCAGGACGAATTGTCTTTTTACGCCTGCAAATGTCAAATCATAATAGTACGTCAAAAAGTCGAAATGTGTAGAATTGTAAAGTAGATATTTGGACAATTTTTTGGACATTTACAGCATAGAAGTTCCTAATATTAGAAAATATGGTAACTAATACTGCGCTCCTATGTATTATTTATTTTACATCCGCCTTAGTACTGACTTTAGCGGGCCGCGACTTTTATCAAATACTTGGTGTATCCCGATCGGCTAGCACAAATGAAATCAAAAAAGCTTACAGAAAGTTAGCAAAAGCGCTACATCCAGATAAAAATCAAGATGATCCAGATGCATCACAAAAGTTCCAAGATTTGGGCGCGGCATACGAGGCTCTCGCAGATCCTGAAAAACGTGAGTTGTATGACCGCTGCGGCGAAGATTGCCTCAAGAAGGATGGTATGATGAACAACAATGATCCTTTCGCTAGTTTCTTTGGTGATTTCGGATTTCACTTCGGTGGCGAGCCCCAACAACATGAGACCCCCAGGGGTGCAGATGTAATCATGGAGCTAACAGTTTCATTAGAAGAGCTTTATAATGGCAATTTCATTGAAGTGAGTACATAATCCTATTAAATCTGTAGTGCATAATGTCTAAATTTAATTAAACCTACATTTTAATCGGTTTTTGTTTACAGATAACTCACAACAAGCCAGTAATCAAACCCACCTCAGGAACAAGAAAATGTAACTGTAGGCAGGAGATGGTTACTCGAAATCTTGGTCCAGGGCGCTTCCAAATGATGCAACAAACAGTTTGTGATGAGTGCCCTAATGTTAAATTTGTTAATGAGGAAAGGGTGCTGGAAATAGAGGTACATTGCTTAAATTACTTCAAACAAAGAATACTCACCTGGGTATTGTAGCATGAACACTGAATAGTTCTTATTATTATTATTTTTATTTTTCATTTCAGGTAGAGGTTGGTGCTCCGGACGGCCACAAGTCCCGACTTCGAGGAGAGGGTGAACCTCATGTGGATGGAGACCCCGGTGACTTGATAGTTGTGTTGAAAACTGAAAGACACCCACAGTACACCCGAAGAGGTGATGACCTTTACACAAATGTTACCATTACTTTGCAGGTTGGTAAAGCTTAATGTTTTTGATCCCTCCTCTTATCTTTGTGATATCGATTGACCTTGAGTTTAGTTGTATAAACAGCAGAATAAATATTCAGCTTGACAAGAGGTTTAATTAAACATTTCAATTTGTTTATTAAGTATGGTGAAATTATAAACGATTGTCAAATACTTATTTCTTCATGTTTATGAATAAAATTCCTGAAATATTTATATCAAAAACTATACAATTTTGTATTAATTCCTTTTTCCAGGATGCATTGACAGGATTCTCCATGGACTTAGTCCACTTAGACGGACACAAAGTGACAGTATCGCGCGACAAAGTGACGTGGGCGGGAGCCCGCGTCCGCAAGAAGGGTGAAGGCATGCCCAACTTTGACAACAACAACCTTCATGGGAACCTCTATGTGACTTTTGATATTGAATTCCCTAAGCAAGAATTCACTGATGAGGAAAAAGAAGGTAATATGCAAATATAATAATAAAACATAATTATTACACAAAATTATGAATCCAGTCTAATATTAATTTTTGTTTCCAGCTTTGCGGAAAATACTTAACCAGTCACCAAATAACAAAGTGTACAATGGACTATAGTAGCACACTGCCAATTAATTTATTTAAGTAGTGAATTGAGTGGAACTGTATGATCAAAGATGTGTATGTGATGCCAGAATATTGTGTTACTTGTGCAAGAATGTGATTCTTTTATAAAATAAACATACTCATGAAGTAACTTTTATTATTTTGTAACTTCATATCCTTGTATCATCAATGTATAGGTAATAATAAAAGAAAATTTTGTTAAAATAAAGATTTATTAAGTATATGATTTTCCTTACATAACAAAACAACTTATCAATAAGAAAATATTTCATACTAAACCTAGTAACTTACTGCAACAAATATGTCCCTACACAACAATAACAAAATGTATACTAAAATCACTGTAACAAATTATCACAATATTGAAACAGATGTCTTACTGCCCAAGGTTTATTTATTACACATTAGGTAATTTGAAAGAAATTGATCCTAAGTCGATTTTTTTATTTGAGGAAATGGTGCATATTATTGCTTGTATTAGTTGCCTGCCACTTCTTTGAAAGCAGTTGTTAGCACAGATAATACGAAAAAGTGGTAGATAGAAAAGGGGGCAGCTGTGTATGGCACTTGTGAGAGATACAACCAGTTAGTGATTCACGTACCGGGCTAATATGCCAGATGTCGCGGTGTCGATTTCCGCACAATACAAACATTTGTGTACATGAACATAACAAGTTTTCTTTAGTTTGGGACTGGAAGGCGCAGAGTATAATGTCCAAGAATATTTATACTGAAAAATCACTAAATTTGACTAGCTTTGCTATCTCTACTTTTATTGTAGCTAGTTATTTTAGAATGTCGGAAGATATTTCCTGCTCCAGAAAGTAGCTACAATATCTACAGGCATAACGAGTGCATAAGTAGGACTACCTAAAAAAAGTATAGACGAGGCAGGAAGACTGCGCAGCGACGTCTTAGAACTACGGGTCAGAAATCTCTACTCCAAAGCGAATCTAAGGTTAGGAACCAGCGAAGTCACTAGCAGTCTCGGCCTGGGATACGAGGTAGGAGGGCTGCGCAGTAAGATATCAGAACTACCGGACACGAACCTTCAGAGCGAAACAGTAACTGTCAGCTTAGGAGACAAGTCAGGCGGGCCACTAACGATGAGGAACCTTCAGAGTGAAGTTACAAACATCAACTGTCAGCTTAGGCTTGAGGGCCTGGAACTACCGGTCAGGAACCTGAGAAGAGTAACTGTCATACTGTCAGCTTAGGAGACGAGGCAGGAAGGTCTGGAACTACCGGTCAGAAACCTTCGCGAAGTTAGTTACAGACAGTAACTGTCACACTTCAGCCTAGGACACGAGGCAGGAGGGCTGCGCCTGCGGCGTGAGGTCGGGCGCGGCGGCCTGCAGCACGCTGTTGACGACGGCGCGCGCCAGGTACCCCACCGTCACGGCCGGCGCCGCCGCGCTCAGACCATCGCTCGCCTCCGGGAGACCGCTGTCCTGTTAAGAGAACAAGTAGTTATGTAGTCTAACTAAAGCGTCATCCTCAAAAGGATTCAGTTCTGATTTAACCGCCTCTGTGGTCTAGTGGTAACACCACCTGCTTCAGACGCAGAGGTCCCAGGTTCGATTCCCAGTTGGGGCAGATTTTTCTGTTCGGTTTGGTTGGTGGTAGGGCTTGTTCTAAATCCGCCTGGCTAGCTACCACCATCTTACCTAAGTCTGTCGCCATAACAACAATGTTAACAGCATTATTGTGTTCCGGCATTTAGAGGTAAGATAGCCAGTTCCTCCGTGGTTGATGATTCCGGGTGAAGCTCGCTTCCACCTTCGGCTTGATCGTCACTTACCATCAGGTGAGATACAGGCCAAGAGCTTCCTCGTTGTGGATAAAAAAAAATACATTAGTGAACACATTAGGCCCCCCACTAGGTGAACCGATAATCTATATGCTTAAGATGCGCGCCGCGATAAGCTTTCATCGCACTATTTCATCTCATTTTACACGATAAGCCGTCGTTTGTCGTCTAAAATCATCGATAAGATTTTATCACGGCGCATCCTAGCCCGGCTAGTGAAGATACGGACAGCACATGACTGGTCGTTGTGGAAATTCCTGGGGGAGGCCTGTGTCCAGCAGTGGAAGTCATTTGGGTGAAACGACGTCTATTCAAGGCATAAAAAATGAGTCAAGTGTCTGCCACGTCAGACAAACACATTTTTTATGCTAACATTAACATATATTATTACTTTGAAACGCGTCAATAACGAATTATAAATCGTATTGCAACAATCCATTAATCTAATTTTGAGAATTCAATCAGCAAATAACAGATGACCACTCGACCGTAACAAATTTTAATATCACGGGTCGTAATAAATCAATTTGATGAAAGAACCTACACGTATTTTTTAATATTTATTTCCAGTGTATTCTCACTGATTGTTACTGCTCGTAACAATAGCAAAAAGTGATAAGAAAATTGAGAAATGTACAAACAAGCTATAAAATGTTTCATTTTATAATTGACGCAGGTTAAAATTGTCCCGCATCAAAGCATGCACCGCACATTTACTCCACCAGAAATATTACAATAATTTTTCGTACCTACATCATAATTAAAATGTTAAATACCATTACTTTCAGTTCACGCAATCGATAACGACAGCTTACCTTAGCGTAAGTCAAGTGAGCGTCATCCAATAGCTGGTCTAGATCCAAGGCATGTTGTAGGTAGAGCTCAGGGTTGCGCCGAAGAATAGTGGCCATTACACACAGTAGTTCCACGCACAACTGCCGCCGCGGCGCCGATGCCACTTTGACCAAAGCTTCTTCTACGAGCAGCGCGAATGATAGCTCAGAACGTGACATGTTCACAAGCGTCGGATCCGCCGGTATTGAGTGGCCCTGTGAAAGAGAAAGTATCATAATACAATGAGACATCTGAAATAGTGAAACAATGTCAAATGGTACAAAACAGTATTGTAAATTGTTACGCTTTCTAGTTTATCACAATCGCATCGAATTTTATAGGCAGTATTAATAATCAAGGTGTGTCGATAACAGAATCAATATTGGTCCGAGTTATTGCGAATAATGGCGATTTTAAGTTGCAAAACTTCACGACTAGATCCAATTATGAAATGCACCTAACAGCATGTATTGGAAATATTAGAATACATAATGTAAAAAAAAAAAAACAGAAAACGCTACGTACTTGAACAGTAATTCCCTTTGGAGTCCTCAATAAAATATCCCAGACTTGTATGTAGAAATGCTTTGGCACTCGGCAAAGGCAGCCCTCCAGTTGTCTTCGTTGCAGTGGAGTCAGTCTACAACAAACATTTTGTATTAGCGAACGAAATAATTTTCCTTAGCATTCGTTACATTTCGGTTGAGTGATTATCTTTATCGATTCGGTGATAACCTGATGTATGCCATGTTTTCACCATCAATCCCTATTTTTTAAGAGTTTTATGTAAACAAAATTCCTGTTATGTGTTACCATAGGGGCCACTTAAAAATTAGGGATTGATGGTGAAAACAGGCATAAGACACGCTAACTAAATTGCGATTGGGAATTGTACCCCAAAACAAACCATAAAAATTATCAAAGGAACATTCGATTATAAAAAAAGCTATACCCTCTATCCTCGGCCCAGTCCGACACAGTGAGCACTCGCTGCAGCAGCGTCCGCAGCTTGTACGGCGAGAGGCTCTCGAGCGTGGCGTCGGCGCGCTTCTCGTCGGGGAACAGCTCCAGGTAGATGCGGATGGCCTCTAGCACCCAGCCCACGCGGATCTTGAGGATACCACGGAACATGTCCGGGTTTGTCCCGATTAGACGACCGCAATACAACACTATTTCCTGAGGACACACGACGTGATCAGTGACAAATGGGCGGTTAACTTAATAAACCAATAATCTCATCTCAAAAAACACGCCCCCGCGGATCTTGAGGATCTCTCGGAACATGTCCGGTATTGTCCCGATCAATCGGCAGCAGTACAACACTATTTGCTAAGGATACACGTGATCAGTGAGCAATTAGATGGTTTACAAACCAATAATCTCAAGGCACAAAAAAAACACGCCCACAACGATCTTAATCACCCCACAGAACATGTCCCGATACTTTGAATACTCAGAGCCCCCAGTAGGTTAAAGACAGCCCTGACTCTATCAGTACTGGCACTATCTATCATAGATAATATGTGATACCTGCTGCAGCACAGCGCCAATGACGTCATACGGCTGTATGGTGGAGTACATGACGGACTGGATCTCGCCCGGCGTCATGGGCTTGTCGAATACGGTCTCCTTGTGCCCGATCACGCCCACTGTTAGCTGTTTTACGAGAGAAAAAATACATTCTTAATCATTCTCCCCACATACCCGATGTCATATTATCTATAGACTATAACTAAGTATGTAAAGACTAAATAAAATTAATTATATTTGAACTGTAATTAACAATAGTCTTCAATGTGAGGAGCTAAAGTGGCGAGCATGGGCATCGCTGAGACGTCATGACATCGCTGCGACATCAAAATCGTCGCACCAGCTCGCGGCATGCTGTTTAAAATCATGCTAGCGTAGCCGGACAAATCGGTAGTGTAAGTCGTAGTTAGGCGATTATCACACTGCACCGCGGTCCGCGTGGCGACAATAACGAATCCCGCGCGCAAACGCGTTGCTAGTGTGTTGTGCCGCGCGTGTTTTCTATACAAACTGAGGTACTTGCATACATTGATTAAATCTGTCGTCCCGCGTACCGCGGCGGAGCGCGGTGTGATAATCGCCTTACGGTCGAAAATCTTCACGTTCGTTTTTTATTTGATGTACACGCGTCTTGTAATGAAATGTATACAGGGTGATTTCCATTGCTGCCTTTGACACGCACTGACCTCCTTGCCGTTGACGAGCACGGTGGTGATGAAGGGGCTGATGGAGTCGACGGTGTGGTTGAGCAGCGACGAGCAGTAGCGCACGGCGCGCCAGTGCCGCAGCACGCCCGCGCTGTGGTACAGTGTCTTGAGAGACTCCAGCACGCTAGTGCCGTTCACCTGCAACCAATGTAAATGTATAAAAATTAAGCCTTAGGCAGACCAAACGCGGGGCAGTAGCAGCGCAGTTTGAATGCGTGCCCGCGCAAGTTGTAATACAAGAAACTCTTTGAAGTATGTCACACCAAATTTGAACGAGGGCCCGCGCTCCAACCGCGCCGCACTGCAACTGCCGAACAACAAACCAGGCGGCGCGGGTGCGGGACAGAAGCGGCGCGGGTGCGGGACAGAAGCGGCGCGAACGCGGGCCCGCGCTGTTGTATTACTATGGCGGCACTATTAGCATGACACACCGGACGCAGGGCGGTAGCAGCGCGTTGAAAGCGGTTTTCGAATATTTAATTTTTTGACAACCGCCCGCGTTGCAACTGCTTTGAAACTGCGCTGCTTTCAGTGTGCCTCAGCCGCCCTGCAACTGACCCGCACTGCTTCTGGCCCGCGTTTGGTCTGTGGAAGCCTTTAGGGTTTTACCAATTGAGAATGTTACTAGGTATGCAAAATCACTTGAAACCTATGTTACAGTTAAGCTTTTACATTTACAAATACATTAGTTTTTATTTTATTCAAAAATACCCAGTAGTTATGATTTTATAGGCATTCAAAGTTCGCTTAAATATTGAGTCCCGCCGACGGTCACGTGACCCCGTGTGACGTACATTCACAGCGTCCGCTCACTAGAAAATGGATATAAACATACTCAAATATTTTTTTTTTGTNTTAATAAAGCGGTGGCTGGCAACCCAGACACAGACACCGGTCTTGACGTTTTCGGTGACAGCCTCCCTAAATTTAAGTCAAAACTCAAGCCTGTATTCGGAACGACTTAGGCACCGAACAAAATGAACAATTACTAAATCCTTTATATTGTTCGGTGCTTAAACTCTAAACTCTATTCAATTGATTTTTGTTTTTACTAGTGTATAATTACCCTAACATTGTAAAAAGAAATGCTGTGTATACCTGTAATTGAGGTCATATACGTATCATGTGTTAAACCATGTTAAAATGTATGAACTGTATTATGTATGTGACTTTGTTGGTGTACCTAATAAATAAATAAATAAATGTGTTACCATAGGGGTCAATTAAAAATTAGTGATTGATGGTGAAAACAGGCATAAGCCACGCGAACTAAATTGCGATTGGGAATTGTACCCTAATAAAACAAACCATAAAAATTATCTTAAAGGAACATTCGATTATAAAAAAAGCTATACCCTCTATCCTCGGCCCAGTCCGACACAGTGAGCACTCGCTGCAGCAGCGTCCGCAGCTTGTACGGCGAGAGGCTCTCGAGCGTGGCGTCGGCGCGCTTCTCGTCGGGGAACAGCTCCAGGTAGATGCGGATGGCCTCCAGCACCCAGCCCACGCGGATCTTGAGGATACCACGGAACATGTCCGGGTTTGTCCCGATTAGACGACCGCAATACAACACTATTTCCTGAGGACACACGACGTGATCAGTGACAAATGGGCGGTTAACTTAATAAACCAATAATCTCATCTCAAAAAACACGCCCCCGCGGAAGTTGAGGATCTCTTGGAACATGTCCGGTATTGTCCCGATCAGTCGGCAGCAGTACAACACTATTTGCTAAGGATACACGTGATCAGTGAGCAATTAGATGGTTTACAAACCAATAATCTCAAGGCACAAAAAGAACATGCCCACACGGATCTTAATCATCCCACAGAACATGTCCCGGTTCTTTAAATACTCAGAGCCCCCAGTAGGTTAAAGAGCCACAGCCCTGACTCTATTGGTTAATATGGCACTATCTATCGTAGATAAAATAAGTGATACCTGCTGCAGCACAGCGCCAATGACGTCATACGGCTGTATGGTGGAGTACATGACGGACTGGATCTCGCCGGGCGTCATGGGCTTGTCGAACACGGTCTCCTTGTGCCCGATCACGCCCACTGTTAGCTGTTTTACGAGAGAAAAATACATTCTTAATCATTCTCCACACATACCCGATGTTATAGAATCTATAGACTATAACTAAGTATGTAAAGACTAAATAAAATTAATTATATTTGAACTGTAATTAACAATAGTCTTCAATGTGAGGCGCTAAAGTGGCGAGCATGGGCATCGCTGAGACGTCATGACATCGCTGCGATATCAAAAACGTCGCACCAGCTCGCGGCATGCTGTTTAAAATCATGCTAGCCGGACAAATCGCTAGTGTAAGTCGTAGTTAGGCGATTATCACACTGCACCGCGGTCCGCGTGGCGACAATAACGAATCCGTGCGTGTTTTCTATACAAACTGAGGTAAATTCTAATTCAAATTCAAATTCAATAATTTATTTGCTAGAATACATAATTACATGCTCGTTTTACTTGCATACATTGATTAAATCTGTCGTCCCGCGTACCGCGGCGGAGCGCGGTGCAGTGTGATAATCGCCTTACCGTCGAAAATCTTCACGTTCGTTTTTTATTTGATTTACCCGCGTTTTGTTATGAAATGTATACAGGGTGATTTCCATTGCTGCCTTTTACACGCACTGACCTCCTTGCCGTTGACGAGCACGGTGGTGATGAAGGGGCTGATGGAGTCGACGGTGTGGTTGAGCAGCGACGAGCAGTAGCGCACGGCGCGCCAGTGCCGCAGCACGCCCGCGCTGTGGTACAGCGTCTTGAGAGATTCCAGAACGCTAGTGCCGTTCACCTGCAACCAATGTAAATGTATAAAAATTAAGCCTTGGGCAGACCAAACGCGGGGCAGTAGCAGCGCAGTTTGAATGCGTGCCCGCGCAAGTTGTAATACAAGAAACTCTTTGAAGTATGTCACACCAAATTTGAACGCGGGCCCGCGCTCCAACCGCGCCGCACTGCAACTGCCGAACAACAAACCAGGCGGCGCGGGTGCGGGACAGAAGCGGCGCGGGTGCGGGACAGAAGCAGCGCGGGTGCGGGACAGAAACAGAAGCGGCGCGAACGCGGGCCCGCGCTGTTGTATTACTATGGCGGCCATATTAGCATGACACACCGGACGCAGGGCGGTAGCAGCGCGTTGAAAGCGGTTTTCGAATATTTAATTTTTTGGCAACCGCCCGCGTTGCAACTGCTTTGAAACTGCGCTGCTTCTGGCCCGCGTTTGGTCTGTGGATGCCTTGAGGGTTTTACCAATTTCAATAGGGCAGAGAGGTATTTTTGTCGGTCTATTAAAATCTTAGCGTCCTTGTATAAAGCCCAATCCACACCAGGCGTATGAGCTCGCGAGACACGCGCGACATCATTCTCACTCACGAGCAGGGTGAGCAAAATGTAGTGCGTTTCGCGATCCCATGCGCCCGATGTGGACGCGACTTGACACATAACATTGTTGTTGAGCCTTATGCTTTTAACGTACGTCCTTCGTATGAGCGTTCAACGGGCACGCACAATGGAAGATGATGATGCAACAATGAACAAATGATATCAAACAATGAATGAAAGAAAGAAGAAAAATGTTTAAAATCTTATGTTCCAATAATTCAATGCAAGCAGATGCATGTCGGATGGTACTGTGTTTATAATGGAAGATATTTTAGATAGCGCTGAATATTAATAACCATGTTAAATAAACAATACTAAATACTTTTCTGTTCGTGTACATCATGGATCATACCTCGTACATGGGCCCTTCTCGCTCCAAAAGGATGCCCCAGAGCTGGCTCTGTGCGTAGATGTTGTCGGTGGCTCGCAACGCGGACACCACGTCCGGCGTCGAGCGGTGCATGTAAGATTCGTAGGAAATCGTGTCTTCTCTGTCAAGAGAGCAAAGAGAATTCAAACGAGCGTACGGAAAGCGAACGATGTTAAACTTTTCAATATCTGTGGCACAGATTTTACTTTGTTTAGACAGCAATTACAGAGCAAAATAGGCCAGTAGAATTAAACACAAAAATTGAATAAATCGGAAATAATTCCTACAAAAGATTTTTTTGCTTTAATGGCTTCATTGGTTGCCCATTAAGACTCTCCTAAGTTTTCGACTTCGACGGAGTTGTGCTTAAGTGGTGGGGGCCCCCGAAAGCGGCGTTTTTTCGGTTTTCCGGTTATACCACGTAAAGGACTTACCCTNTTCTTCATTTCAATAGGGCAGAGCGGTAAATAAAAAGTGGTATTTTTGTCGGTCTATTCAAATCTTAGCGTCCTTGGCCCAATCCACACCGGGCGTATGAGCTCGCGAGCACGCTCGACATCTTTCTCACTCACTGGCAGGGTGAGCAAAATGTCGCCCGTTTCGCGATCCCATGCGCCCAATGTGGACGCGACTTGACACGTAACATTGTTGTAGGGCATTATGCTTTTAACGTACGTCCTATGTATGAGCGTTCAACGGGCATGCATAGTGGAAGATGATGCTGACGTCTCTCCCTATCGAACAATGCAAGCAGATGAAAGTCGGCATTGAAAGTGGTGCTGTGTTTATAATAGAAGATAGTTTAGATAGCCCTGAATATTAATAACATGATAAATAAACAATACTAAATACTTTTCCGTTCGTGTACATCATGGATCATACCTCGTACATGGGCCCTTCTCGCTCCAAAAGGATGCCCCAGAGCTGGCTCTGTGCGTAGATGTTGTCGGTGGCTCGCAACGCGGACACCACGTCCGGCGTCGAGCGGTGCATGTAAGACTCGTAGGAAATCGTGTCTTCTCTGTCAAGAGAGCAAAGAGAATTCAAACGAGCGTACGGAAAGCGAACGATGTTAAACTTTTAAATATCTGTGGCACGGGTTTTACTTTGTGTTTTTGAGACAGCAATTACAGAGCGAAAGTTGGCGGATTCGTAAATAAATTGGTTGGTCAACAAAACGAATGCAACACCTTAGCTGGTATAGGAAAAGACCTTGAAGTATCAGTATGCCCCGCTGGGCCGGAATGATTCCCTACCCCAGCGGTTCCCGAAAGGTGGTCCACGGAACCCTGGGGTTCCGTGGCCGCAAGGGTTCCGTAAAAAATATTATCCGACCGACGTTGTTCGCTCGCACCGACTTCTTTACGCACAAGGGAGGGGCAGGGCGTGCGGGCGGAGTAGTACGGGGGTTCCGCTAGGAAAAGTATAATCAATTAGGGTTCCTTGGCAAAAAAAAAATAGGAAACCCTGCCCTACCCTACCTAGGCCAGAAGGGCATGCCCTGAGCCCTGACGCCCTTAGTAAAATATTAAATATCTTTGGACAATTTCACAAAGCGCCATCTAGCCCCAAAGTAAGCAATTAATATGTTTGTGTTATGGGTGCTAGCTTAACGGATATACTACTTATATACTTTTATTTAAATACACACATAGTAACCTAGACCCGTCACAGAAATTAAAATTCATCATTTCAATATCTGCCCGGCCGGGAATCGAACTCGGGACCTCTCGGCATAGTAGTCCGTTCACGAAACGGGCGACAAAGCCATATCATCTGCTGCGTGAAGATTTCATACCTGTAAGTGAGCGTACGCGGGACATCGGTGAGCGACTGGTAGCCGATGTACTCGTGCTCCAGCTGCTTGAACTGTGTGAACATCTCGGAAGGAAACTCGCCTTGGCTCATGAAGTCCAAGTGTTCTGCAAGCACCAATTAAATCCTAAAATATACAGGGTGTTAGGGTAAACAGTCTTATCGTTTAAACTGCGAATAAGTACCTAATAGTAATTCCAAGTTAATAAAGAGTAATTTATAGTACTTTATTATAAACTAGTGACTGTGATGACAGGACTCCATAATAACAAATTCTCCATAACAAACAAGTTGTGTTCTGTATACGTGCCCTGCCCACTGCTTCATCAGCGATTCAGCTTGCTAATCCATCGGGCTACGTCAGCGACTTTAGTTTAGATCTCGTAAAGAATATAGAAATGAGCACCATAGTATGCAGGGCAAAGGTAGCAGAAAGGCGCTGGATGAAGGAGGTCAGTCACCATCATCATCATTTCAGCCATAGGACGTCCACTACTGAACATAGGCCTTCCCCAATGATTTCCATGTTGACCGGTTGGTAGCAGCTTGCGTCCAGCGCCTTCCTTCCTGCTACTTTTATAATGGCTGCTGCAGAAGTGGCAATGGGTAGGACACATAGTACGCAGAACTGCAGACGGCCGATGGGGCGGCAAGGTTTTGGAGTGGAGGTCCTGTGGCTGAAAAGATGATGATGATGATGAAACAAGTTCAGTGTCGGTACATTACCCATGCAAGAGCTGGAGATGAGGTTCTGCAGGCGGCCGAGGCGCACCTTGACGCCGTCGCAGTGGCCCTTCTTCAGCATCGCGAACAGATCCAGCATTTGTTTGAAGTGCGGGTCGCGCATGTGCTCCTCGCGTACCAGAAGGCATACCGTCGGCCGCCCTGATAGCCGCCAGTACCTGGTGGCCCAACGGTTATTAAAAATCGTCAAGGTATTTTTATTATTATTGGTTTTTGGGCCTTTACTTGCGCCAACTCGACCAGGTTTGTCTTTAGACTTCACTGCTTAGTCCCGTTGAGTCTATAAATTTCCAGATTCTTTGGAGCGTGATATCTGCTATCTCATCCGGGTGCATGATGTGTCGCCCGAGATGGATACTTCTTTTGAAGAAACGGCCATGCATGTTCTTTTTCTCATAAGCGGGAAGCATGAGCAAAGAACATGCATGCCGTTTCTTCTTCTGTATGGCAGAATCTGCACAGAGTTTCCTCGTCAAGGTAGGCATCGGGGTCATTAAAAATCATCAAGGTAATCTTGCGCTCTAAAACCTGGTACGCACTAGTCGAGTAATGTCCAGTGAGGAGTAATTTAGTAGCTAAACCTGTCCGAATGCTAAAAATTTTTTCGAGTAGATTATTAAATTCGTTTAGTCGAACCAATCCATTTGTTCTATTTTGACAGACGAATAGCATCCATCCATCATCACCACGCGTCCTTGTTCACTCGTTCACCGGCTAAACGAGTCCAAACCGGGCAGTTTAGTAGAGTTCATACAAAAACCACTAATTACCTGTAAACTGTACTAGAAGTGCGAATGGTTTTTTGGTCAGAAGCGATTAGTTAATTACTAAAAGTGAGTTGCTCTTCTAAATTACCCGACTAGTACGAATAAGGCTTAAGAGACGAGGCGAGATGTGCGGACAAAAGTAACAAGGCGGACGAAGCTCTGCTCATCCATGGGGTCGATGAAAGAGACAAAATATGTAATTATAAAACTTACTTTCCGACGAATTGCAACTCAGTCTTGATGTCATCTATTAGCAACGCCATATCTCGGTACAAATAGAACTCCGAAACTTCAAAGATCAGAGGATAGCATAATACTGTCATTCCACACACCCTGTATATCTGAAAATTTTAATAAAATAAAACACAACCATAAGTTAACTTTGTCGTATATCAAAAGCGAAATCAAATTGGTTTTAGTACCTTACTGGTTCCCAATGAACCGACAGGTCTGATCGGGCGTCCTGTGAGTTTCAACTTCGGACAAACTCCCAGCTCACGGTACACGTGGACTAGTTGCGTTGAACTGCATACCTATAACATTTTACATTATACATCAATGGCACATCAAATTGCAATGTAAAAGTAGCTCTTATTTCGTGGCGAATAAGGGTGATAAGCTCTAGTTGTACTGACCTGTACTGGTTCAACTTCATGCGGCGTCTGTGTCTGAATGCCGTATGTTCCCATCATCGCTTGCAAGCGCATCGATTCGGCGATCAAAACCACTTGCACTACCAGGTCCGTGGCTATTCCCTGCAGTTTACAATTCCATTTTCATTGATTTAATTTACAAGTTTAAATTAAACTAGAGCCGTGCAGTAGATGTCTAGTGCAAACGGGCTTCATATTATTCGCAAAATGCTAATATTAAACATACTCGTAGTAACGGATGCGTATAGAAAAATAATTGCTTATTTGCGCTACAAGACGGAAAAAAAATCAAAAGAGAAAAGTAGGTATTATCGCTCTACATAAGCAGTATCGTAAATAGTCCTCATAACATAAAAGTAAAAATAAAAAGACGTCACTTTTAGCGTAGCTAGCTGTATGAAGTAAATGCTTAAAAATAAAGAGTCACATGCTGCTAAAAATATTGATTAGGATGCTGTGCCATGCTAAAATAATGCATTATTCTGCAACCTCCAATACTTACAAACGCCGGCTTGGCCTGTGATTTGCGCGTGAAATTAAAAGTATAAATATTAATTAATAAATGATAAACACAATTGACTTGAATTTGTGGAGCTTGCCAAATATTAATGACCGATCTGGGAGAAAGGTATTCTTACAGTTTCAGTAAAGATAGTTAGACATAGTTTCAATTTAAAATTTTGTAAACTAAGGAAATGCCAAATTCTCACTTTTCATATAAATATTAAAGAATTACTAGGGCAAGGAATAGGGGCTCTCGACTCGAATTATGGGGAATTTTGGTTATCAGAAAATTGTACCTGAAACCTGAAGCATCTGCATTGTATAATCTGTTGTATCCTGAAAAATGTTTACCTGAACGGCGGAGAAGGGTACACGTCACGGCACGGCTGTTTGGGCGACGCCGGTGACGGCAAACGGAGTTAAGCAGTAAGCTCATCATTTTTCAGCCACAGAATGTAATTGCCGAATGCCGGTTGGTAGTGGCTTGCATCCAGAGCGCTTTGCTGCTACCTTAATGAAGTCGTGTGTCCATCTTGTGGATGGACGTCCTACGCTACGCTGAGCGGTAGGTGGCCTCCACTTACTGCCCCTTTAGACGCAGTTCTGCATGCTTTGAGCAAGCAGTGAGCTCGTCTAAATCTTATGTCTGAACTTTATCAGAACATGTAAATGTGGGAAACATTTACCTGGAAGGCAGAAAAATCGGAACATATTGTAATTTACCTGGAACGCAGAGTAGCGTCCGGCGCGCCTCGGCCGGTTGTAAGACGGCAGGTACCGGCGGATGGGGTCCAGCTCATTGACGTGCAACAAGCCGCCCGTCAGCAGCTGAGCAAGCACGAACATCGACTGCGCCCACAGGAACAGACCGCCCGTATCTGAACCAAAACGCTACGTCACTAAACCTATTCGTAATACAAGTACAGTCAACAACACCTCAGACCAAAAAATATGCTAAATAGAAGGGCCTTCGTTAAAAGTCCTAATGTATGAAAATGCACGCCCATGGCGTTTTAAGCGGAGGCCCTAAGATAGCAGTGTTTAAGTCGTTGTGACTGTCGTCTGTACCGTTAAAAGGTGTCGGTAAAATTGAAGATAAAAATTGTAAGCAACTGAAGACTAGACTTCTCACTCTGCGATGGGAATCAGCGTCAGAGAGTACTTAATCGCGTTAATTAGATTTTAACATTGACTTAGTTTAGTTTAAAATCTACGCGTGTAGAGCTATTATGGACAATAAGCTAGTGCCGTTACTTATAAAACTATTACATAAACAAATATAAAAGTATCGAGCAGGGCAAGCTGATTAATTTACCTACAGATTGTTAGCACTAATAATTAATTGTAAAAGTTTTGGCTTTTATAACACGTCATGTTGTTAGTCATAATGTAGAATATTATGGCAGAAAAATTTTCGCGGAAAAGCAAAATTAACTACAAGGTTAATAATACACTGACGAAAGTTACAACAAGAAAGAAAGAAAAGTCAAAAACCATTCACCAACGATCTATGTGATTTACCTTTGTTGTCGATATCATCAGGTTTGCCTGCAATTTTTTCAAATTTAATTAAACCCAGACTCAGAATTACTTTTATTATTACCTCTTAACTTACTTTATTTTTTTATTTATTTTAGTGTGTGTAATGGCAAAAGAATGCGACTTACTTGCGGGCAGTCTGCGGACGGAATTTGGTTCGCTGCGCTCGTTTTCTATACCTTCTCGCGGTACATAATAATACCAAGGTATGACAGGATCTGTAACATAAATATTTCCAATGTTGTTAGGGAATTAAGTTGTTGAATAAATAAAAAAGCAATGGCGATTAAAAACTGACAACACTTTATTACCTACCTCCATATTCATCCATGTATATTCTTGCTTTCAACAACTTCTGGTATTCCTCTACTTGTTCCGGTAGTGTACGGAATACGCCGTCAATGATCATCATCACGTAAAAGAGTGGCCATTCAGATTCTACTCCATCAAACTCTTTCAACTCCCCTTCATTATAATATCTTCTATTAGGATCTTCAAGGACACATTTATATCCATCGCGGCTGAACCTTTTGAAACCGTATTTGCCTTGTAAGCGCCGTAAAAGGTTCGATTTAGTTAACTGCAATAAGTGTTCTTCATGTGTGGCAAAAGCAGGAAATGATATTGTGGGTAGTAAGGCGGCATCTACTCCCTGAAACATAACAATAACATTTATAATAACCGTTTATTTCGACCACGCGAAATAGCTGAACTTGTGTAATACATACTTTAGAACTAGATTCGCGTGGAAGCATCGTTTCGAATATACTCCTGTTACGATTATGAGCATCGATATCTACGTAGACGACGCTCCACGATGCGCCTTTGTCGCCGAATAAGTTGCAGCCGTTTATTGCCTCAAGAGCTGCTTTTGCCATTCCTGCAATGTTTAATTACAATAAACGACTGGTTTGAAATGGTCTGGTGGAAAGGCAGACGCATAGCAACTGCAACGTGACGCAAAAGCAATATTAGCGTTATTCACTTTGCATACAATTTTTTAGCAAAAAACGTGTGTTTGAACCGCCGCCACGCCGCAAAAACGTTAGCTGAGTCCCAAAAGCTTTATTACAGCTAATTTAGTATTTCTGACAAGTCAAGTTATTACAATAATTTAGCTATTGTGAATTTTAATAGAGAGACATAAATAAAATACTTATGTATAGCAATAATTCTGAAAAATAATACCTATTGAAGAGGCATGAATTTCAGGTTTGCCATCATTGTATTTTGAGCCTCTTTCCCACATTCCATAATCTGGTGTTCTATAGGCTCTCTCTACATAGTAGACCAAATTCTGGACAAAAGCTACTTCATCCTGCAGACAAAAAATATTTTATTAGCATACACATAATCAGTAACATATTATTATTATTGTTATTTTCAAGACATACCTGTGTGTATATGATTTGCAGTCCTGATGTGATCATTTGCACAAGAAATAGCAAATAGAGTGAGACAACATCGATCTGAAGGTGGTGGTACTGGTCGTCGGAGAGCACCGGCTCGCCCGTGGTGAGGTGGAACTTGACGTGCAGCGCGTGCGCGGCGCTCTGGCGCGTCTTGAAGGCCTCCACGCGCGCCGCCTGCTTTATCCAGCACTCTAGTATGCCACGCATACATTTTACTGTACTTTGACCTAGCTCGTGAGACTTGCCTCTGTCATCATCAATTCTCCTGAAATATTATTTAATATTCCATAATTTAATTAAATAAGAAGAAACCATTTTTAGCAGATAACCTTTCCAGTTACAGTTAGTTTCAAAGTGGAGTGAGCCAGTTTTGCAGGTGGTGTATCAAACTTAGATACTGCAAAATATAATTAGTTTCTTTGACATAACATTGTCCATTATCAGGGGTTTCAATGTCGACTAAGATTACACCAACCTATATGCTTGATATAGCCCCCACACTGCAGACGCACAATAAATACTATCTCTGACACTTGCAACATGAAGGTCTGATGACAGTACTGGAAACAATCCAGTTATAGGACTCTGGAACCTTAATAACTGCCTTTTGACTGAAAAGGAATACAATGTACTATGTTTTCATGAAATTACTACAACAAATTACTTATATTCCACATGATCCAAGTAATCTTACTTACCAATAGCATAATAAATATCTAATTGCCGAACTGTATCTTCATAGTTTGAGATTTTAAGGAACTGTTGGGCATTTATATCATCTATACTCCCCTGGCGAATCATTATATCATGGTAAGCCTGGAATTTAATAGATAGATGTACTAGTTTATTCGTACACACATTAACCTATACGCACTAAATAATTAAACAAGTAAACACTAATTAAGCAAAACTACTTTGAATCTCGTGTTTGTTTGTACGATATCCACATCGACATTGAAAGGTCAAATTACTTTGAATGAAAATAGAAAGTGGTAATCACATGAACTATTTGGAAAAATCTTTTTAACTTCAATCTTTCGCAAGCAAGACAAATATTAAATTCAGTTCATATCACTTTGTTGAATAAGGTTAAAATGAAATAAATGTTCAATGTTCAACCACAGGTTCAACATGAAATGAAAACAGATGATTAGTTTATTTTCAAAAGTTTGTATTGGCCTTCAGTCAGAATACAGACCCTATCATGCTGTCCTTCATTAACTTATATATTTAGAAAGAGAAGGAAGGATGGATGGAAGATTTCGTAAATGTCAAAAATTGGACGTCGTTTAACTGTCAGATTTGTCATTAGTGCTGCCCCCTAGACAAAAAAAAAAAAAAATGCATCTTTTGATCGAATCGAAAATCGAATCCATCAAAACTCCATACAAAAAAAAGGCTTTTCGACCACTTTTCGACTGGTTTGCGACTATAATGTGTACTTTGTTTAGACCAACTGATTTCAAGCACAGACTGATTAGACAGAATTTCAAGGCGATCTCCTTGGATCCGCGATCTAGATACGGATTTTTTGCATATTTAAATATGTGTGTACTTATTTTTTGACTTGGCTTAAGTCTCGCCAAACGTGACGATTTCTATTTTATTTTGTTATTTCAGTCACGGACGGGATTACAGTGATCTATTAAAAAAGGCAACTTTTTGCCGAAGCCCAAAATCGAGGGGCCTCTTCTGCTCAAAAACGTTCCGTTGATCCTTATTAATCCTTAATTTTCAAAGAACCCTGACTTGGTTAATCCTAGTATATCCAAAAAGTCGAGCAGCTGGCGCGTTGAGGCGATGAACACAAGCAAATATTTTTCATTTATATACCGTGTTGCATACCAAAGAGCATAAATTGTATACGCTTTTCGAACGTCTTACGTAGTCTGACTGAAAAGTGCTTTCTGTCTCACTTGTACACTTTAGTAAGAGCAAGGCTTTTAGCTGGTGTTTCGATCACAGATTAGAGAGTGTTTCGATTGAACTTGAGTGTATAATGACGTCACGTCACAATTCGTCATTGACGTTTTATATTCAAATGTTACATCAGTGTGCTGTATGAGTACGCGTTCGCCTCAACTTTCACTATGCGACCTAATAAAATATTGGTTTATATTTTTCTATTCCAAATATTAATTGATTCGATTAGTATTGAAATGTGGTTGTTACAAACGTTACTATTCACCACTGACAGCTGATTATTATCACAGTTTTGACAGTGACAGCTGACTTGAGTAGTTGAGTTGGATTTTGGGCACATTTTGTTCTTAAATTGATAAGAAAAATAATTAAAAAATCGTAATTAAATTAATGTTAACTGTTTATAAATATATTAATTAAATCTTTCCCTGACGTAGTTACAACATGTGAGTATATACTTTATTTACATTTTACTTTACAAGATCTATCAATATTTTGATATGTTTTCTATTTTTCAGATATAAAATAGATAAAGGTACTTTTGATTTTTATTAGGAACTCAAATATTTAGAATAAATTGTCTCTATCGGCTGTGTATAAAACTGAAACCATGTAAAGTACAACATAGATCTTCATCAAAGACAATAGAAAAAATGAGCAGAGAATCTCACCAGGACAACACAGGACTCTCTAGAGATACGCAGGTTTCTTGATTTGAAATTGTTAATATTTTGTTTTGTCTAATTAACTTAACAGTCAAGTAACTAAATAAGGCCATTTTTACTAACCAAAAGTGGATACCTACTAACAATATGTTGGGAACTATTGGAGAATTTTAGTTAGGTACGTACTACCGGTAATTGTATACAGCAGTAGAATGATTTAGATGAAAAAGCAAATTAAATAATTGTTTAAATGTTTATTTACTACTAAAACACAACAACAACACTTTGAAAACCTGCTGTAAGTATATGATAAGCATCTGCTGTGTAGTAAATTTGGCATGAAAATTTACTGGTCATCACAAAAATCGGCCCACCTACGTTTTACAGGAAAACTCGTTTCTACTGACACAATCATGGTGCCCCAACAATATTGGTGTTATTTGAAAGCCCACTAAATATCCTTAAAGAAAAACATTTAATTTCTTAATAAACGATTAACATATACAATAAATGTGACTTAGAAAAAAGACCTCACTTTGGGCTCACCTCTGGGATCAATTATTAGACCAATATTTATGGTTATAAAACCAAATAATGATCTCACATGTCCTCTTTAACAGATTCATAGCGATCAATCCCAACTTAACAGTTTTATAGCCATAAAAGTTGGCTCAAGCGTAACTACCTATTTTTTGAAGAAGTGACTCTGGATTCTTCTACAGACACATTTTTCGGGTAAAAAACCTTTCCTTTAATGAAATGAAGTTTAGAACTAGGCTTTTAAATGGTGCCAATTAGTGGGAAGTGGGGATGCATATGTTTGAAAGTGCTTGTCGCGGGAGGGTCGATTTTTGTGATGACCAGTGTATGTTTGGAACATGTCACAACAATAATAAGTTTTATTTTTCAATTATTGTTACAAATTGCAAGGCAAGGACTAATAAATATTAAATAATCTACACTAATATTATAAAGAGGAAAACTTTGTTTGTAATGAATAGGTTCAAAAACTACTTAAAAATTCTTTCACCATTCGAAAGCTACATTATCCACGAGTAACATAGGCTAAATTTTATTTTGGAAAAAAATAGGGTTCAGGGGACCACGCGCGCGTAGTCGCGGGCGGAAAGCTAGTGATAAATACAATGCATAAAATATTTATGAAGCCACTGCAATGGACAATAAGATGATCCATACAGGGTCTCTTAAAATAAATTGTACAATAGGTATTCATCATTCACAATAATTATGTAGGTTGCTTACTTGATGAATTTAATAAATTCTCAATTGAACCAACTGGGCTAACTTTGCAAAAATCTGCTGTAAAGAATTATGCATGTCATGCATGGAGTATAATATAAAACAATATAATATGTACAAGACTAGATTATCTGATGAAATACAGGAATATTGGCATGATATCTGTTGATTATTTTGAATAATCAATTATTCTATGTGCAGTAGTATTGTAAGCAGTGAAAAAAAATGAACACCATTTTATTGATTAAAAAAAACTATGAAAGTGTACTGATGGTACCCACTCTGTGCACCCCTGCGAGTTTTAGCACAGGCATAAGGCATAAAGCATGAAGAAAATATATTTTTCCCAGTTTGCTGCTCTACTGAGTTGATGAGCCGACTCTAACTTAAATGAATTATAATGATTTTTTTTCTTTATAGATAGACTTATTCAACTTGATCGGAGGAAGCTGGCCCCCAGCGCCACGCGAGCCGGAGCGCCCCGAGTATGGGTCAGTGCCTCGCAACTGTGGACGCACTATGCAGCGTTCTTCGCAACATGAACGTGTCAAATCTGTGAACCTTTTGGCACACTTGGCACCCGACAAAAGACGTCATAAACCAACAACCTCCACAACACCTCAAGTGAAGTCATCACCAGAAGATTATAGACCAAAAAAAATGGTACAAGACACTAAAAAAGTGGAGACTGGAATACTTGTGGGTAAGCATATAATGGCCACTACTTTTTGTATTACCAACTGGCTTCATAAGCAAAGCTTGCACTAAAGCGACAATCACGTATAAACAAACTAATAAATATACATAAAATACCAAAAACAATCAATACTTGCGGGATCGAACCCGCAACCACAGCAGGCGTAATGTTGCGTGTAACGCGAACCTTCAAGCCCGGCTCGGCAGGCGACAACTCTTCTTCATTTTTTCGGTCGCTTATTCGTGCCGTTTAAGTTTCTATTTGAATAAACGAATTATATTGACTAAAGTATCTAATACATTAAAATAAATATGAATCTTATCTATCAATTATTCAATATAATATTGTGGATACATCATATTATGTAAAAAAGTTCAAGTATTAAGATCAAAGAAAATTCATGTTCACGTTAGAAACACTAAGGCGCAATTTTCAAATCTAATAATCTAAAACTTAAATATTTACCATTGTTATTAGCCTGTGCACAAGTCACAATCACACATTCACTATAATTATCTTGGTCCCAAATATTTACACTACAACCACAACACACAGTTCATAAGTCTAGCATTTGGACGCGAGTGGGTGAGCCGATTTTAGCCATTCCTAGTTTCTAAATTTAGATGTCGAGTAACGCCACAAGCGGCGGCCGGCCGGCTGGCAGTGTGCATAGTCCGCGCTGCCCTAAAACTATGGCGTGCAGTTATTTTCAGGAAATTAATTACGACGATATTCCCCTTTGCGTTCTTCAGTTGCAAGAAAGTATGTTTTTAATTCAAAAGTGTTTCTATATTCCCGCAGTATGTTTAAAAAAATCGTAGTTAAATGTTTAGGTAATTTTTCCGGTCATTGACTTGGGAATTTTTCTTATATTTACAGATGTCTGCAGCGGGGACGCGCCTGAAGAATTATATGATTCTCCAGCATTAGGGTCCCCGAGGGCGGCTCCTGCAGCGACGAGGAGCTCACCTATCGATCTACAGGAAGATATCGGTGTTGGCTCTTTGGTTGAAGTTGCCACAGATGTTGATCAACACTATTATGGCGTCGTCAGGTGGATCGGCATTATCGATGGTAAACTTTTAATTGCATTTTTCTAACATAAATCGATCTATTTATGATGTTGATACCCCAGAGCGTATTTGTCGAGTGTCTACTATGCTTGTTTACCATTCCTCTAATTAGGTATAAATCCTAGTAATTTATCGTTTCTTTTACTATTTAATCTCACCATCATGTTCTTTGCTCACTGCTCACCTGTTACTTTCTTGAATAAATGCTTTCACTTTAGACCTTAGAAATACAGCACTGCACTGCACTTAGGAATACAGCATTCCGATTCCGTATTTTTTATCTCACACTTATTTACTTTTACTTATTGTGCATCAAAACTGTCCAAAAACGTAACGTAACCAACTTGAAAGTGTATCATTTAAGCGGTCTTATCGTATTTATTTTCTGGGCGAAGACCATTTCAATTATGCTGTATTCCTTGTATAGGTAATTAATGGTGCTAATAATGTATGGTAGATTTTAGTGGTGCCCTGAAACAATCTAATATTTAACTT